ATATTAACTTTCACCTTTCGGTTGTTTGCAAAAGAGACAACACAACATTTCATCATGTTACAATGGTTATTCTTTTTTTTTTTTTTTTTTTTAACTTTCATTTACTATCTTTTTTTTAATTTTATTAATGTTCATTCTCTACAAATCCCAAGAACCACTCAAGGTAGAGAGTTACTGATGGAGGTTGTTGTATGAGAGGTAACAGGTACAGTTTATGAGGATATGTGAGAAAGATAATAGTTATATTTAGACTTGAACAGGTTAAGATTGTAGTGGTTAGGAAAGTGTCCTCATGGAAGTTGGCTCCACAAAGTAGTAGTTCATGGGAAAAAGCTGTTTGTATTCCATTAATAAGAAATTCCACTCAAAGGGAGATGGTTTGACTCAATGTACATGACATGGTGGGTCTTAGCTGTGAGGGTTAGAGTTGGTGGAACCAAGGAATGTAACTTGTATGACCATTTTTCATGAAAATAATAGAGTAATGAGAGGCTTGCAATGATTTGTTTGTGGGAAAGGGATTGTAGGATAGAAAATAATTCATCACCCACAAGGCCATGTAGACGCTTTTGAACTTTATCAAGACTGAAAAGTGAAGATTGGGCAGCTCTAGCCTATAAATGAGAGCAGTATTCTATTTTCAGCCTGATGTCTGTCTTGTAAAGAGAAAAGCATAACAAGTGGAGTCAGGTACTTGCTGGAGTGGTAAAGGGAACCAACCATTTTTCTAGCATTTTTAGTGATAGATTGTATATATAGGATTTAGTTTCACTTGAGGCTTGGTTTTCCTTCTGAATCCCCTATTAATCCAATGTTGTTGGTGCCTAGATATGGATAATGATTACTGAGCTCATATGGTTGACCATTACTACAGAGTTCAATCCTTACTAGGTGCCCCCATACTTGTGGTTCTGTATCATACCGAGCTGAGTAAACACAACACAGCATATGTTAATAAAGTTACATCCACTAATAATTCCTGTTGTTCTTATCTTAGAATCAGCTTGCTGTACAGGTTAAATAAATCCATAGAGAAAATGCATCCTTGATGTACTTTTTTCTATATCTGTATGCATGCTGTTTGTTCTAAGTGGGGGTTACAGATTATTTTAATATCTTTTCCATGTAGATCAAGCATTCCTAACATTTCAAGGAGCTCTTTAATATTTTATAAAAATAATTTAATGCACTCTATGAAACACAGATATAGATCTTTCTGCACTTCTGTTACTTGTAATGATAGCATTCTGATTATGAAAATTGCATTTATTGTTCAGTATCTTGAACAAAGCCACAGTGTTCTTGTTTTATTTCTAATCTTTTTTTTATATGAGCTCTTTTCATTAGAATACTAATTATTAGTTATGCAGCACATCAAGTTAATTGTTCAATGAAGTTTACATTCTTTTACACCTGGTTTATTTGTTAGCACTTGGAAGATTGATCTGAGGCCTTTCATTATTACATTGCTGCTATTTTGTTTATCAGTTTAGCAACCTTATCAATCCCCAAATCATGTAAGGTTGTCGGCATCTCCATTAGTTTCATCTGGTCCTGCTGTTTGTACCTCTTCATTTTTGTCAATGCTGTCCTAACCTCAGATTTTAATATTACAGCTTCTTCCAATTTTTACCTCTTAGTTTCTTGTCAGCATTTGGTTATAAAGCTACAAAAGTCTTTATTGTTGATTTTCTCCTTACTATATTGAAGAACATGTTTTTACTGCTTAAAGTTATATCGGAGTCTTTTAAAAGTGGGTAATTAATAGCATCACTCCTTTAGTCCCATCCATAGACTCCACTGAGAAGTATGGGACCCACAGCTCTCAACACCATACATTGATGCACTGGTTTCCATAGTAAATAAGGTTTTACAGAATGAAGTTGCTAACCCCATACCCAATCAGTTTCATACCCAGTTTTTCCTTACAGTACTTAGTGTTCCTAAATCTAAGCACTGACTGAGCTTGACACTGTTCAACTTTGGTGATCAAACAAGTACCAGTGTGACTTGAGGTTTTCTATTCTTGTTTTAATTTATAATTGTTTTGTTTCTATTTATTTTAAATCATTTATTTTCCCTGCTGTAGAAAAAGATAAAAAGAAAACTCTGCTTTTGAAGAAATGGTTACTTGTCATGTTACTTGCTGATAGAAAACATTAATAAAAAAAAAGTCTTTCAGATAAAAATGAATGAAGAAAAGGTGATTGTTTGGCTGGTAAAAGAATACATAATAGATGCTTATGAAAGCAATGGGTTGACCTAACAATTTGATGTAAGAATAAGTACTCTCTTTGTAACAGGCTAAGGAACCTATATAAATATTTATGGAATTAGTCTTGTATGAAAGTTTGTCTAAAATGCAAATAGAAAAAAAGTTGTAATTATTGCTCATGTTTGAATAATCAATAATGTTTGCTGTTAACTATATAAAATAAAAAAAACATTAATTTGCTCTAAATTTTCTGTAACCAAGTCCAAACAATCATCTTATGAACTGTAATTTTTTTCCTTCAGAGATAAATAAAGATTTTAAATTTATTTTTTTATTCATTAGTAAAGAATTTCTGTACAAAACCTACTTTGTTACAAAAAAAAAAAAAAAAGGTCTTGAAAACAAACTGATATTTTGAAATAAATCAATCAAATATATATATATATATATATATATATATATATATATATATATATGTGTGTGCAACTTGGGTTTTTGAGCAGTACTCTAGTTGCTTAATTTTTTTTATACTTGAATCAAATAAAAAAAAAACAAAAAAACAATGTAACTAAAATAGTAGATTGGTAAAATTCATGGATACAGTATAAAATAATGTAGTAGTAACTTTTTTTTTTTCTGTTGCTTAAGCCATACCGACATCAGTCGTGAAGTTGTTTAAGATTTTATTTGGGTACAGTTGTTCATAAACAAAAAAAAAAAAAGTAATCTCCCAATATTAACTGTAGTTCTATGGGTCAGCTACAAATGGCAGATTTTTTTTTTTTCTGGTGGAGGTTAATGATTGTAATAAATTTAAAAAAAATTGTTTTTCTTAACACTTGAGTTAAGAAAAAAATAATGAATTTCAATACATAAAAGAAAAAAAGCTAGATCATTTTTTTTTTTTTTTTATCCTTCATTATGAATGAGGTGATAAAGTTCTCACTTCTACCCCTCGGGGATCCTTCTACCCCATGCTACAAGTATATTGAATTTGTTTAACATATGGAAATATACACCATTTTGATTTTATAATTTTAAGTAAAAAAAAAAAATAAAGACAAAACAGAAATGTGTTTAATTTAATATGTATGTATGTTTGGGGTATAATGAAATTCCTTGGTTACTGGTCATCATTCGTTATAACACTTGTTTTATTGCTTTCATATTTATTATGTATTGCAAAGGTAACTTTTATTAGACAGTTCAAGGAAAATTTACATAGATGCATTATTAGCAATCAAAAATTAAGAAATTTTTTTTTAATGTCTTCTCCATTTGGTATACTTTGCTTATCATTCCAAACTTTATATTTATTATAATGATTAATAAAAAAAAAAAAAGCACCTTTTGAGTTTAATATTATGTTAGTAAGGCATAAAGCAAAATGAAGTATAATTTTACTAACTTTTACACTGCCACACTAGTTTACTAACCTTTGCACTATGAAAGGCATATAAATTACTATACACCATTAGTCAACAATATCCATAATCTATAAACTGTTTCTGCCATTATGGAAATGGGATTTATTTATTTTTAAGATTTCACCCTATCAATAACAGTGAAGATATATTTACATCTTACAAATAATATTAACCATTGTGGGTCATGACATCCATGCAATCACCAATGACAAGATCCTTATCATGGTGGGGAATGCAAAGGAGATTGCGTTATTGGCAAAGGCATGAATCCAAAAGTGAGTTGTGAAAAGAACAGGACAATTTCATAGCATTATAGAATTTCCAAGTAAAACAATGGAAATACTCAGGAATAAAACTACATTTTGGATCGCCCAGTGAAGAATCAACTCACTAATGACTTGTAAGATTAGCACAATAGGCATTATTCTATGGCAAGTGTTGTTTTGAATTGAATTGTTTTAAGCTTTGAGAGGTGGGTAAAGAATTCGAAACTATTGACAAAAACCCAGTGCGCAGGTTACAAAATATGATGATTTTATTAAACACATCAATCCTTCCATAATTTCAATGTAGATAAGAAATATGGTTGCACTAACCCTAAACATGCAATAACTTTGTGATATTTTGTTCTTAAGAAAAATTCATTTTTTTTATTCCCTCTCTATAGTACAAAAATTTAAAGAATACCTTTTTAATAAACAAAGCAATCGGTCATAAAACTGCTGGATCAAGGAAGCACTGAATTACTTACATTTCAAAAGACTGAGTAAAAAAAAATTAAAAAGTACTAAAATAATTTTGTTGGTATTATCTGTTTTTAATAAAATAGTTCATTGAAAGGATGATTTAATTTATTAAAAATTAATCAACAAATTATTTGAGAAACAAATTAGGGGAAAAAAGGAAGGTGCAAATAATAGAAGAGCAATCTCAAATTATTTGGGTAAATTTAGAATAGTGTAGTTAAAGAAAAAAGAAAAGCAACATTTCCCTCTCACCTAATAAAATTAATATTTTGAAAAATAAATCTTTTTTCAATAAAGTGCCAAAAAATGCTTTTTAATTCACACTTAACCAAGTTGCTGGTAAAAAAAAAAAAAAAAAAAAAAGTTAATTGTGGTTTCTAAGCCTCACCAACCTGGCATCGGAGAGTGAATCATAAACTGTAGCTATATTTTTTTTCTTTAATGAGATTTGCCGTTATTTTGTTTAGGACTTTTGGAATATTCTGTCAGAATATATAATAAAAAATATTGTTCAGAACACTGCAAAAAAGATTTTATCCCAAACCTGAAAAATTTTCATAAATAATTTTCATTCTGAGTTTGGACATTGCTTTAATTTTTCTTTTCTCTCTCTTAATCAAATAATTTTCGTGATAACATAGAATCTTCTCTGAGTTGACGACGTTTTTTGGCTTTTAATCGTTGGCTTCTTCGAGGTTTGCACATAGCCTCACAGTCTGAATTGCCAGAATATGATTCCTCACTGCTGTCATTTTCATCTGAGTCGTAGAGTTGAGAGGATCGAATGTAACTCCATTGACCAATTGTTGAATCCCACTGAGATAAGAAAAGAAAAAAAAAATCTCAATTCTATGTAATTTTTATCAAATTGAAACATGTAGATAGACAAAATAAGGATATAGAAAGGAAGCCACAGCCTCAATATTGAAATAATGCAATGTTTTGACAGATTTATCTACCACCCCAAGTGTAATCTGTAAGAAAAGAGGGAGAGAGAGCCATGAAAAGGTTTCTTTTTGTTCTTCTTGATTATACTTGAAAAATGGATCTTGAATGGATAATGCTGTATGAATAACTGCAACAATGTTGTTTTTTTTTTTCAAAAATAAGAGCAATAATATTTTTCAAGTTTCATATTACAATTCCATTAATCTCTTTGATTTCATAATGCGAATAGTTCCATTAAGAATTTAAAAAATTGGACTGGATCCACAACAGATTTTTGTCCAAGTGTTGCTTATAAAAAGTATTTTTCTTTCTTTTTTTTATCAAAATTTTTTAGAAAATGAAACTGTATTACTGATGATATCTTTCCCCCACCCGCCAATTCATAATAGTAGGAAGTTATCAATGATGTAGGTACTGTTTCAAACTTGACATTTGTATTGATCTTTTTTATGGCTTAACCTTTTTGTGAGTTAATTAAACCCAAAACATTTTGGATTGTAAGAAATTTGTTTTTTGTGAGTGAATATTGCATCAATAGATTAATTTTTTGAGAATAAAAATGATTTTTCCCAGATAAGAGTTCTACTATTTAACTCATAGCTGGGGGAGGAGATGGATTCATACCTTTCCCAAAGGTATTTGTGCATAAGCAAATGTAATGAACCTGAATAGAATTCAAACTCAGCTCTCTGATTTCCCATTCTGAGTCATTATCCATTTTGACATTTGTAAATAAAGAATTATCTGTACATCATTTTTAAGTCAGTGATTGATTTGACACCATATTTATATTATGAACAAGGCCCCCACTTCTAAAATAATAAAAAAGAAAAATATTTTTTCATTCTGATATGTTGTGGCTTGAATAGTGTCTAATGAATGCTAATCTAAAAAAAAACTATCCCCCCACCAGAATGTGATACTAACTGAATAACATTAAAAAGAAAATATCAATTTCTATGGTGGTGATTACAAATCTTATAAATATAAAAATCTTTAATGCAATTACCATTATATATAACTTACCGATGTTGTGATAATTATGTTGTTAGTTGGGTGCCAAGAAATGTCTCGTACACAAGTACTGTGGCCATTAGTCAATCTTTTCACAATTTTTCCAGACAGGACATCATAAACTGTTAAAAGAAAAATATAATTCAGTGCCAAATAATTTTTGTTGATGAATTTCTACTAGTTTTTCTTTCAAATTCTTAATGATTATAGAACATAAAACAATGAGTTTTACAACATAATTTGAAAGTAAAACTACTTATAAAAATAAATAAATGTTTATCTGACTAAAAAACTCAATTATTACAAATATACTTTCAGGAAGATATAAATATAGCCATGTCAGAATTACAAAAACAACTCTATAAAATAGGAATAAATAAAATTAAAGCATTAAATTTATTTTGTAGTTTAGGGAAAAGCCATAAAAAGGTAGAAATTTTCATGAAGCCTTTCATTGGAAAAAGGAAAATAATAATCTAGCTTAATACAGTGCAAAACAAATTCTTTATTTGCCTGAAATGTATATCATTGCATTAAGGAAATACATGTGATATTTGACCAAATCTGAATGACTATAAAAGGATTTTACACTTTCAATTGTAAGAAATTTTGACCTCTCTCATTTTTCTATTTTTCCTTTTAGCAAATGTTATTCAAAACCAGATAAAAGTTTCTTTTGATAACAAGAAAACATTTTTTTTAAAGTTTTCTTTTACAAAGTAATGAATGTTTATTTTTTTATATGTGTAAACCATCATTGGTCATTTTCAAGAATGGATTATCTCATGATTTTAAAATTCATGTTTTTCCATTCTGGCATTTGGAACATTATTTTAAATTATCATTTACAGGTCACAACAAATGTAAGGTCATTTTCACAAATACATAAGTTGAACTTGTATGTTTCTAAAATATATGTAATAAATTAGTTTCTAGATTGAAAGATGTTTAATGGAGATGGCTTCAAGCAGTCATAATTCTTTTTTTTTCTTTACAATTTATATTGTATAATAACTTTGTCCAAATCCAGAACCTTTTCACTCCTGTTGGAGGAACCCCTTCCTGATTGACCAAGTCTTCAGGGGTGTAGCCATACTCACCATGCTTGGTCAATTGTGGATTAGTGAGAATATTTAAACAATAGTTGGAGGTTTTGAAGACAGAATTTTCTCCTACACTGGTTACCACCCAAGTCTATGGGGAACCAGTCTGTTCTGCTATTAACTCATAGCTAGGGGGGGGGGGAGAAGAAATGGATTCATACCTTTCCTAAGAGTATTTGCATGTAAGTGAATTTAACAAACTCATCTGGAAATTGAACCACTATTAATTACTCCACTTACAATATATTTGTGTCTTTTGCAATAATTTAATACTGGTAAGAATATAATAGCCTTATGTACTATGTTGATTAATGAGTTTTTATGATACTATTGACTTATATATGCACACACATACAGTGTGTGTGTATATATATATATATATATATATATATATATTCTTATATATTTTAAACTGCCGCTGCCTTGCACTTATAGCAAACATGGAAAAAGCTATCAAAGTAAATACAAACAGAAAACTTGGAGTGACCCTGTTTAAACATTTAATTACAGGGTGATTTGGAGGGACTACTAATTGGATAATTATTAAAATTTTTAGTATAGATTGAATAGTTGAGAAAAAAAAGAAGAAATGTTTTAAAATAATAAAATGAATTTAAGAACAGTTCGAAGGAGAATCAAAACCAGAATTAACTAGCCAAGATTCAGAAGATCTGAGCAAAAACCAAGGTTCCTTGCCTTATCCACTTCTCATTAATAAGAAGACATGATTAATGTGTTGTCTGAATCTCTTTGATTCTGAGAAATTAAATTTGAAGGTTTCTTCACATTATACTAACTGTCCAAAACGTGTGTTCTTACAGAAAGGATGGACCCAAACTATTCTATGGAAAGAAAAGGACATCATTTTTTTTTGTAATTCCCAAGTGTGGAATTCGTTTGTGTTGTTGCTGTCCATCCCAAAACACTATTATCTTTACAGAAAGATATCTAGGAAGATGATAAACAAAGAGTACCATATGGTTATTAACACGATCTCCTAAGATGGTCAAGGTAGAGAAATCAGATATATCAATGTCAAATTTGGAGAGCAGAGTTGTCTTTGATAGCTCACCAGGTCCATAGACATATAGATGGGCCCAGGAGGAAGAAGTTGGCTTGGAGTTGTATTGTAAGCAAGTCATTGCTAAAGAGCACTCCCACAGTTTCCATGGTCACAGAAAAAACACGTACACATGCATGACAGAAGAACTGAGTGAGTTGAGTGGCTGGTTATACTTTAGTGTTTGTTACAAGGTTTCTGAAGTAACCATCCAGTAAGTAGAAAGCCTAAGTCCTTTCATAGATAAGAAACAATTTATTCACCAGTTTTTCTTTATATTCAATAAACCTGTTGTTATAGTTACCAAAAGTGTTGCACATTTTATTAAAGGAGTTCTTATTCCAGCCTGATTCCAAAGCTGACTTTAGATTGAAAAAAGATAAAAATTACTATGGCCAGAAATTGAGAATTATTTGTCCTTCACAATGTACATAGAAAAGACCTTGTTATCAATCCCAATATAGTAAGATTTTGGGAAACCTGAAACAACCCTATCAAGATGACACCCCAGCCCCAACAAGGAGGGAAAAGAAATCCAGAGGAAAGATAGAGAAGAGAGAATGTGTGGGTTACAGTTGGCTCTCAACATTGACAACTTTCCTGCAGCCAAGCCAGCACCAAATGTAATCATTTGTCAGTATAGTTGAGAGGGGTTCATGTCGTCTGGCAAGTGCATGGCCTCCATATATGATACCTGCACTTTTGGGAAGTCACTCCAGTGTCACTACCAAAAGACTGAGTTTTAATCAAACAGGGCACTATCTTTATGTCATGTGATAAACAAATTCCTACTTATATGCAGCAAGAATTCACTCCAATTCAAAATTTTGCTAAATTCAATTGAAGAGATCTGTTTAGTGTTATTTTATATTGTTCTAATTTCTAATAAGATGTACATTAGAATAAAAAATGTGGATAAACTTCAAATTTTCAAAAATTTATATTTTTGTTATTTTGTTCAAGTCCTTAAAATTCTCTCAGTTATTACCATGAACTGGAGGTTGTCATTATGATTGATAAAAATGTTTGTTGTCTACATCCTGATATTATTTTTTTTCGTGGAGTAACACTAGAATTAAAATAGTTACATAGACCTAGACTGCATATACTGATCACTACATCCCAAACAACTAATATTTTATAGCATTCCCTAAAAGGAAATGCTCTGAATACTTGAAGCCATTATTATATTTTTTTTTTAAAAAAAAAAAAAAAAAAAAAAAAAAAAAAAAACAAATCACATTAAATAAAATATCTTTTGCCACATGAGAAAAAAAAATGACACTAAGGAATTGTTTTTACTTACTACAAGCACTTCCGGTTGCACACCCTGTATAGATATACCTCTGACCAGTTGTAAATGCGGGAGAGAATTTACTACGAATCAATGTGTGAAGAACACTGTGACCTTGGTAAGTCATCACAGATGCATCTCCTACCAAAGTTTGTATTCGTGCCACTGAAAGGATAAGATTAAAAAAATGACAATTACCGAGAATAAAATTGAAAAATCTTTCCATAAAATGAGGTTAAAGTATTGTTATGTTTCGTTATTTTAACTGAAAAAAATCTCATATTAACAGGAACTATTATATATAGTCTATAACTATGAAAAGAAGCATTAATATTCCAATGTCTTTTTTTGTGTTTTTGATGTTGTTGCCACAATATTTTGGTTGATCCATTCTTCAGTCTTCATCAGGTATATACAAGAACAAAGTTCGTTTGTCTAAACAAAATGTGGAACAAAAATATAGTTCTTATTCAAATGTCTAGTTGCAAGAATATACTACTGGTGTTGAGAAAAAGTTTAAATTCTTTCAAAAGTCAGTCATTTAACAATTTCTTGTGTGTGATTGACTCAACCTTTTTATTTAAGATACTATTTTATATTTTATTGTTCAAAATGTTTTAAATATGTTTCATGGATATTAAATATAAAAAAAAATTAATTATATATATTTCCACAAGTTTCATTAAAGACAACCTACAAGGTACTCTGATTAAACTTTTTATTCAAGTGTGTTCATATAAGTGCTCACTTTTCTGAACATAATGTGTATAAAACTGTCTAAATGTTCTATATATCTGAGCTTTCAGCTATTCTATTCCCAATTATCAAGGATGGTTTGTTATTTTTAACTGAATGTGTAGATGTTTATATACAGGACGTGATGGGTAAATTGTTCCCATTTTATATTTTTAATTTTATGCATGCATATTGTTTGTTTTTGATTTTGTCAACCACACAATATATTAAGTTCAGTTGGGCATTGTCTGTGAGAAAAAAAGCACCATGAAGCAATTGACTCCACCAGAAATTTGGAAATGGCATGCTGTACTAATTGGCATTTGTGTCGGAAGCTCTAGTATGAACACTTCAGAGTGCTTGGGTATCAATCTGAGGATGGTACCGAGGATTCAGAAAGAGTTGGATGAGTCTAAAGGTGATTACAAAGGTGTTTGGAGTGATCTCTAGTGATAAGTCTGTTATGCTGCCATTCATCTTCTCACAGGGCCTCAGACTCAACATGGAGGCCTACATCAAGTGCCTCGAGGAGGTAGTGCTGCCCTGGGTGAAGAGGGATCTTTTGATGGAAGACCCTGTGTTTGGCAACAGGATTGCCTCATTCCACACAAGCACAAGAATCCAGTCATGGCTGTCAGACAATTTCTGTGATCACATCACCCCTTATATCTGGCCACCTAACTCCCCACACTGCATCCGCCTTGATTATTATGTGTGGGGTGCACAACAAAACTCCTTGTAATATTTTAAGATGAACTGAAGACAAGGATTATGGTAACATTCACCAACTTAAACAAGGAGACTGTCCAAAAGAGTTGCAGGAGATTTCAAAGAATGTCTGACGCTCAACTTTCTGAGAGCGCCTCTTTGTGGCTGCTCAGCCTCACGTTGTCTACTGACCTGAGATGGAACAAATAATGTCCAGTTGTTGCTTCGTCCACTGCATATAAAGTTGGATCCCTAGATAGATGCCAGGAAATTTTTCTAAATGTCGATTTTAAATGGATAAATCAACCATTCACCCAAATGCTCTATTGCTAATTATATAAGGTCTGGATTTTTCTGTTTGTTTACATTTACCATATAAGGTCTGGATTTCTGTTTTATTTTGTCTGCAAATCGCTCTCTCACAGACATGTTGTCGCCTCTCTCTTTTTACAAATACATTCATGGTAATTGCTCCGATGATGCTGCTTTTCAACCATTCCAAGACTTCCAGTTAAATTCAATGCTTCCCTGCTTTTGGCTGGCATTCACTGTCACCCTTTCACTGTTGAAAATTAAATGTAGCCACCTTATTTTTTATATATATATAATATATATATTCATATAATGCAAATCTCGCCTGTGGAACTCCCTTCCCTACTCCTGTTTCCCTATATCAAAAATCTCCAACTATTCAAATGTAAAAAAATGACATCTCCAGTTGCCTTGATCTATCCACTGTCCTTCTCATCCTCTATTATATCATTCCTATCTATATATATCCAAATATTTTGATACCCCTAGATAGATAGTGTCTTCCCATCTTGATAGGGGTGAAATATTAAAGGAAAAAAAAAAAAAAAAAAATAGATTGAAACAATTCAACCCGAAAAATAACCACAGAATAGGATTTACCAGCGGAATTCCTTTAAGAACAATCAAACAGTTGTGAAGGACATACTGAAAAAAATTGGTGATGGGAGTAATTTAGTATACCAATGGATGATGCATGTAAGCGGGGATGCAGGCAGACATTTCTGTGTGTGTGTGTGTGTGTGTGTGTGTTCCTCAAGGCTGAAGATCATTTGAATTGCAGCTATGTGTCCTGGGCAACACTGGATACCTCAGCTTTATTTCTGATAATGGATCAAACCATCTTATGTAAAAAAAATTCAACTAGAAAATTGAAAATAAATACAATATATAAATACAAATCTGCTACCATGCTGGTTGGATCGGTGTTACTCTCTGTTAGTTTCTTCAGTGACATGGACCAACTATATTATTCCTGAGAAATACCCACGAGAGCTGCCTCTTCAATGACACTAAAATTGTTGCTAAAAAAAAACTATTATTTCATTTGAAAACTTTTTATATGACGATAACTGAACTTGTGGATACCTTCAATGTTGCTGGATTTGATGACTTTCATATAAAAAACTGTAAATGTGTAACAGGCAAAGATTGCATGAATGCTGAACTTATCAAGTAAGTTGATGCATTCAATATCAGGGGTGAAAAATATACTGAATTTACACTGAAACAATTTTTTGAGGTGTAATTTTACACAAATTCCCCTTCACTTTTCATGTTAAGACTGTGCTTAACTTTTACATTAAGAAATTCTTTAGAGAAGAGAAGACAGAAATCCCCATTTCTTTTGAATCCAATTTAACTTAAATTTTTCCTTAGTTTGGTTTGATAATTACAGACAAGAAAAGCTTTCCAGCCAGACAGTACAAAAAATTTCCTTAAAAATTCAGGTAGAAGAGTCTTGTAAAAATGAACACAATTTTTGCATTTAATAATTATTATTAAGACTGTAACAAAAAAAATTTTTTAAAATATAAAACGTTTTTTCCTACATTTTTGTACCTTGTTGGCATAAAAGCAACTCACTCTCGATTTTATGTGAAAACTTAAGAAACAAGATGACCACTGATTCATATTTAAAAAAGGAGAAAAGATTTTTGTTTTACAATTTAAAATACAAAAGTGTACATCTATTGTCTGTTGCAAAAAATTTCGTTTTGTGATTTATTTCATAGATGATAATTTTTTCTAAAAAAAAAAAATTAATTATCGACAGAAAGAAGAAAAATATGCTACAATTTGTTTGATAAAGAAATCCAGGAATTAACAAAGACTAAAAATTAAACTCTTTAAAAATTTTGATTAAAAAAATTTAAAAACTTGAATGTAAGAAATAACAAAATTGCACAATATTACAATTTTTTTATTGTTTCCACCTTTTCTTAACAAACAATACACAAACAGGACGTCTCTAACCTCAAGGGGCTTCATTGACTTTTGTATGTTATTCACTTGAGGGCTTTTTGAATTTTATTGAAAGTTCATAATAAATGTTCTTTGGTTGGGAAATCTAAACTGATTAAGACTCAGAAAAAATTTAAGTTTTGGGGTAGAAATCTGACTTGAATGTGTCAGCTCTTGATTTCAAACCAATTTTAAAATATCAGTCCTTTGATTTATGGGGTGCTAATTTTAAAAGGTTCCATTAACTGCTTTCTCATCAACAGCACATTTTTTTATTCTCGGTCCTTATCTGCTTATAGTAGTCCTTTTTATTGAAAAAGCAACTGTCATATCAGCTAACTTCAAGTTTTCACAAGGGATTCAAGAAATTGACTCTCATTGGTCAATATATATAAAATCCTTCTCCAAGTATTAAAAAAAAATGAATCAGCAACAAATCAAACAATTTTAGCTGTATCAACTGCTTGAGCCTAAAAGGCCAGAAAAATTGCAAGAATTTTCACAAACTGTCTGCAAATTTTCCCTGGTTGCTATTTCATAAGTGTGGGATTTCTGCCAATTGCCACGTGTCTTTTGCAACACCCTGTATATTATTAGTTGATGACTGTCAATGTAATGTCAGTTTAAAAATAATTAAAAAATGGCAGATGGCCATAAAACAGTGCTGAAAAAAATGGCAGATGCTACAACAGACCCACCCCACCTCGGTCATGTGTTTTGGGGGTAAAACTTGCTGACCCTGCATTAATGTTATTATATCTGCTTGTATTGAAAGTGGAGTAGGAAGCCACACAAGTCAAATATAGAGTTATGTTCATGTTATTTTATTTTTACTTTTCAATTATATTTCTGGATTAAAATTAAAGAATTGTAAAGTACTAAAATTCTTCTTTTAAGAGTTAGAAATTTATGCCCCCCCTTACCTGCAAAAAAAGAAAAAAAAATCATTACTATAAGGTAATGATTTTTTGAGTTTCACTAAAAGTTAATTTTTTTCATATTTATAAAGTTTCAGTTTATTAATTTCTGAGTTTGACTTAAATACAACATGATATTGTATTTTAACATAGAAAGTAAAATATTATTTGCCTTCATATGAAGACCAGCACAATGCTTGGAAATTTACATTGATGCTTAAGGTTATTACTTTTCATTATGGGTCCAAATTGGTTTTAACATTAAGAAACTTATATCCTTTTAACTTTTTTAATATAGCAAAATGTATTTTTGCAGATGATAAAAAAAAAATTATTCATACTTTTTCGTGGAACTGGTTGCCATCGATAATCCCATCTTTGATCTGTAACAGCAGCTTTTGTTGCCTAATAGACAAAAAAAAATAAAAAAGCGAATGGTTTTAGTCCTAGCCAACATTCATTAAAATTAGTGATGGAACGATGAATCGAAAATGAGAATCAGAAATATTGGAACTTTTTAGGGTATTGGAAATTGTCCTTGTTGTTAGACAATTAAATTACAACAATTTGTTTTAATCCATAAAATCATTTTTTAGTCTCAGTTATTGAAAAGATTTATTTTGTTTACATAGCATACTATGTAAACAAAAATAAATCTTTTCAATAACCAAGTCTTAAAAAGTAAATAATCTTAAATTTATTTCTATGAAATTCATATATTTATTAAAATTTTATAGCTTTTGAAATGGATTTTCATCTTTATTTACTTTAAAAAATAAGCAAACTTTTATTTGAAGTTTTCTGAAAAAAAAAGATTTTTTTTTTTTTTAACACAAAAGTTTGTTTTAAAAAAAAAAACTTAAATTTAATTTCCATCAAAAATTGTATTTAATTTTATTTTACTAATATTTTTCTTTGATATATTTGAACTTTCCTGCATTAAATTATTATGGGATTTAAAACATTATGAACTTTTTTCTCATTTATTCTTCCTTGGAGCCAAGCAAGATGCAAATTTTATAAGTAGAAGTGTATAAAAAAAAAACTTAGAAATGAGTATTTTTATCCCATTTTTATCTGGTGTAATTAAGCTATAGTTTTTTCCACTTTTGACATGATTTGTTTTAATATTTTAAAAATAAAACTAGTAAAATTTCATCTTTTAATTATCTAATAAATAACTGGAAAAAAAAAAAAAAAAAAAAAAAAAATATATTTAATGCAAAAATTCTCATTTACAAAAATATTTTCTCATCCTTATGAAGATTTTAATGTTTTTAAAAATTTGAATTTTTATTTTAATGCTTTGAAAATGAAAATTTATTATTTAGCTTTCAACTTTTAATATTTTTAAAAATTAAAAAAAATTTTTTAAAATTTAGTATATCTTTTTAAAAAAAAAATCAAGGGATATGTTTTTTGTAATTCATTTTTACTATTTTTTCTTTTAACAAAAATAAAACACATTTTGATTCTTTTTAGAAATTATCAAATATTTTAAAAGTGAGAAATTTAATTTAGACAGTAAAATTTATTAGTGACAAAATGTTTTAGATAAGATTGAAGACCCTTTATTATTTATTAAGTTGCTGTGATAATTTATATTTAATTTTTATTAAATGTCTGTAAGTAAATTTAAAATTTGCACTTATTTTTTTTTTATTCACTGTCCTGCAGGATTAGGTAAAAAAAGAGATCAAAATATCTGAATGAGTTTAATTTGATAGATAGAATGATGTCTTTCTGTTTAGAAATTGTTAGAATTTGCATATATATATATATATATATATATATATATATTAGGTAATCTCTTATTTTTGAAAGTGCATGATGAAATTGAATTGACACCCTAAATTTGTTCTTTGCATTGAAAAATGCCACATATAAAATTTTTTCAATTTTGTATAATATTTAGAGGGCCCTTTTGCTTTTAAAACTTAAAAGGTGGACAAAAAAAAAATAGACCCTTTTTATTTTACAATTAATAGCAATCCATTATTAGTTGAATCTTTTTCAAATTATACACATAAAAAAATAGAAACATTTTTATCTAACAGTGAAAAAATTTAAATTTTAACCAATATTTATTATTTCATATTCAATTATGGTCATGTGGATCCAATGCCAAGCAGGAAAAGTAAGTTTTGGAATTTTTTTAAGATTTCTGATGATAATCAAAGTAAAAAATATGTCAGTTCCAGCTAGGCATTGTCCCTTTACTGGAAAAAAATGTCTCTTTATTGTTTAAATTCTCACAATTTTTTTTTTTTTGTTTTTTTTTTCTTTCATTTCCGATGATTTTTTGTATTCATTTTTTACTAAATTGCCTTTATCAATAAATATACTTTGTTCATTAAGTTTCCCAAGCCAACTGTAGAGCCTGAAAATAATGAATTTTAACCATTGTAGATATCAGAATTATGAATCATATTGGAATTGGAAATTTAAAACAGTATCGGGAATTGTATCGGAATCAATAAAAATAATGGTATCGTCCCATCACTAATTAAAATATTTGAATATTTAGTTTTTCATAGAATGATAAATAAAATATGCTTGGCTTTCATTTTGTTCTTTTGTTGTTTACAAGTAGAAAAAATTCAAAATTTTTTGTGTTTTCAAGTAATGTTCTCTGTTTTTCAAAAAAATGAAAACCTTTGATAATGAAGATTATTTTTAATTCTTTTTGGTTTTATCCACACAATGAAAAATCCTCCATATTTGGAAACAACATTATGAAGATGAACAATGGAAATGGGGACAACAGCCTAACAATTTTAGATAGAATTAAAAATTTTGCAAGAATGTTAATTAAAATTTTTTGATTCTAGAATAATTGAGAAATTCAAATCCAATATAAAAAAAAAAAAGTAAAAAAAATTGTTCCTGTTTTCTTTCCATTCTTTTTCTCTTTTACTAAAGTTGGATAAAGCATGTTTTTCAAAAAAAAAAAAATTAATTTTATGACAAAGAATATTTTTGTTGCTTTTAAAAAGTTTTAGAAATAGTAAGCATTTACTTTTCAATAAGATTAAGAATTATTTTAAAAAGAAATTTCTGTGGATTTTAGAAAGAGAAAAGAATTGATTTCTCTTTCCCATTTTGAAAATCAAATTAAATCCATCTGTATCATCATTTGTTTATTTTCTCTGACAAAAACATTTAAGGACCATGAATCAATTTTATCCATTATTTTGATTATTCTCTATACAATTCAAGAAAATGCTTAAAATAAGCAAACTACTTATAAATGCAGAGAAAATTAAAACCAGTTTTAAAAGTTCCTTAGTGGAAAATTTTGTAATATTCCATTTTTTGTTTGGTCCTTTGAATTGGAAATTTTAATCATTCTATATATGATAAAAAACAATTTAACATATTGACATTGGGACCATAGGAAGTTAATCAGAAGAAAGAAAAAGGAAGAGGAAAGAGACTACTAACTGGATGACAAGTAAAGAAAATAAAAAATGAAAGGCATTAAAAATTATGTTTCAAAATAATAAAATGAAATCAATAACAGTTCCAAGGAGAATCAAACCCAAATTTAACTAGACAGAATTCAGTAAGATTGAGCAAAAAACAAGAATAATCATTTTCCCCTCCCCTTGCCAATAAGAATTTGATTATTTTATTATTCTCAAACAAATTTTTACCACTGTATACTTTTTCTAAATGTATATTTTCCAAATTTTATTGCTAATCTGTTTTTAACCAGTTAAATTTTTTTTTCAAAGAATTTCTTTTTGTGTAGCTCCTTTTAAATGACTTTTCTTTTAATTTAATTTTACTTTTTTTTACAATGTATCTTTCTTGCCCTCCTTTTTAATAAAAAAACAATAATTTTTAAAGGAATCATTTCATGGTCAAGCCAGGCAATGAATGCTAGCTAAGATTGAGGGGAACTGTTAGCATCATCATGATACCAGCGACAAACCAAATACACATTAACAAGCAAAAAAACAAATGATTGGCATTGCATTTTACATTTTTGAAGATGAACTGGGAGACCAATGCAGTGAGATTGGGTTAAATATAAAAAAATAATTTGAATATTATAAGTTTTTTTTATTATTTGTGTATATATATATATAACAATATATATAATAAAAAATATAGTTTTTTTTTGATAATGATAATTTGGAAAAAAAAGACATTTTTATTAAAAAAAATAATTTAAATTTAATCATATTTATTTTTTTACTTTTTCCCATCTATCTGAAATGTTTGTACATGCCTATAAATCTTTTTAATTTGGGCAGTAATATTTATAAAATTAAAAACAAAAAAAATTTTATTTAATTTATATGCAAAATGATCTTTTATTTAAAGATTTATTTTTTTCTTTTGCTATGATTAAGAGTACTGCAATGACTGCAGAGAATTGAAATTTCAATTTTGCAAAAAAACATTCAAGTTTAGAGCAGGTTTATATGATACCAACAAAGAACATTGTAATAGAAAAATAGTGGCTAAGAATTTTGTATTTAAAGCCTTCTACATCAAACACAGTAGACAATGAACTTCAAAATTTGACACTGAATCGAGTAGATATGTGTTTTCCAAAGGAACAATTTTTTTTTGAGACGGGATAAACATGGGGAACACTTTGGAACATTCAAAAGATTTGCCCTAATAAATTAATTCTGTTTCTTTACTAAATGCCATTTTGCATTGAAAGTTGTTTCAACTTTAAAAATAAGATGGCTAAAAAAAAAAAAAAAAAGCCAATGATAAATTTAAGAGTTTGACAAAAAAAAAAAAAATTACCTTTTTCAATTCAGGAAATTTTTTTTTTTTTTTTTTTGTTTTTTTCAAAAAACTTGGAACAAATAAAAAAAAAAACAAAATAGTGAACACATTTTAAAAACTTTTTTTTATAATGAAAAAAAATGTTTCTAAAGGATGGTTTTTTCTTGAAGACACTGCTATTATTTTAATGGTATCTTCAAACCTCAGCAATGTTTACTGTTTTAAAATGTTGATTAAAATTGTAATAAAAATCTTGCATATTATAAAAAATGAAATTAAACAAGTTTTTTTTTTTTCTTGATTTGTTAAAACAAAAAAAATTAAACTATTTATTAGATTGTTTATTTTTTTTTTTTTTTTTTTTTTTTTTTTTTTTTTTTTCAAAGGCAATTTGCCATTAGTGAAAAAAAAAAATATCTTTAAGTCAAAGAAAGACTAGAATGGGATTTTAATGAGAATACAAAAAATGATTAACAATAGTTTAAATTAGTAAAGTTTCCATTGATATTGTGTAAATTTTTGAATGTTTTTAAATATCAGGGAAGAAGTAAATACCTTTTTTTGATATTTTGGAAGTTGCATTTTACTATTTCAAACAGTAAAACAGTGGGGTTTTTTTCAATTTAGTAGCATATTTTAAATTCAATGCAGGTTTTAACCAGGGAATTAAAATTTGTTTTAAAAAAAATTGCCATGAAAATATTATAGAAAAAAACATTTGAGGGAATTTGATAACATGTTGGTGAAAAGTTTACTTATTAGATTGAGATTTTTACAAGAATAATTTTATATTTACAACATTCTAAAAACCAATACAATTGTATTAAAACTAATGCAATATTTATCATTTACCAATTTATAAAAACAAATATGAAAATTTTTTATTCATAAATTTATAAACCATTACTAAATTATTAAAATATGTGAACCAACTATAAAGAAATCCTTATTATTTACCATTTTATAAAGTTTGAATCAATTGGCAATTAGCTGATATTTTGCCAACCATTCCAATAAAATAAATATTAAATAAACAATTTTAAATTTATTATTTTTTTTGTCAATTCTCAAGAACAAAGAAAATGTATAAATTCACTTTCATATGTTTTAGGTTTTATTAAAATTTGAATCATCATTTTTTAAAACAATAAACATTGCTTTGACACCTTTTTGGGAGGCAGAAAGGTTAAAGATTGCTGAAATTCTTGGACAGAAAGCATAATAAAAGCAAAGATTTATAATAGTCTTAAAAGAATTTGGCAATTATATTAATTTGGAGAGGGAAAAAAGAATGATGCATAATTCTGTGTATGAGAAAACTTACCCTAGAATCTATGTATGTGATTCCATTAGAATGGCCACTAAACACATTTTAACTTATTTTGGATTATCTTCTTTATAAAAAAAAAAAAATCCCATACCTAAAAATAAAATCAACAACTGCAGAAAGAAAAATGCAAAAAATATTTTATTGTGTGAATTTTGATCCAAATGCAACAAAGTGAAGAAGGAAGCAACTATTTCTTATATGTGGAAATGAATTTTTAACATTTTTTGCTCTTCTGTATTCCATAGATTCATCATGACTGAATAAATGTATAAAGAGGCTGGCAACTGATCCAATAAAAAAGCCCATGTTTATTTGTATAATTAAACACTCTTGAATAATAGACTGTCTCTTACCCATGGAGGTTATGTTCGAGAACTCCAGTAAATGCCTGAAACAACAGATAGAATATATAAAGTTCAGTACTATGTTTATTTGATATGTATACATTTCATGTCACCATGTAACCAAGTACTACCTGCTGTATTGTTGGGTAATCAGTGACTAAACCGGTTCTCTCATCAGGTTTCTGGTGAGGAGGGTGGCTAGACACCAAACAGGATTCAAATCAAGACCTATAAAAGGGTAGCTGAATCTTTTTGTAGTGCCAATAGCCATTGAGAACAATTGGTAAATTGGGCTTTTTTTTACATATGCTGCCAGTGATGTGATGAGACAGCATCATAGGGTGGAGGGTTTCCAAGACTGGATTCAACAGCCAAGGCAGAGGCCTCTCAATGGAATCAACAGCCATATGTCTGTAATCAAGGTGAACATTTAAATTGGAGGACATCCCCAGAGAGGGATGATTATTAGGTCTACTTGCCAAAGACATGCTACAGATGAACGAATACCTGTCTGGCTTTCAACCCAGATATGTGGATGGAACTGGTCAGGTGCTTGGTTGCACAACGACTCTACAAACAGACCTGATCATGGGACTGTTGATAATGATTATATATACCTATGATTTTTTTTCACTAATACTTGCCCAATACAAGGCTCAAGAGCTACTCAAAGTAGAGGGTTACTGGTTACTTCATGGAGTTGTATTAGCATAAGAAAAGGCAAGCTAACAGGAAAGCTAGACAGTTAATTCTAGACTTGAAGAAGTCAAGATTTAATTAGCAAATAAAATTTCAGAGTTCAAGCAGAGACATTAGAAGTATAGAATGGAAGTAGAGTTTAGAAGAGACTGGAAATGCAATCCTAAACAGGAAACAAGGGATGAACCTCTACTCCTGTTCAAAAGACTGGAGAGGAGTGTGAACAAGATGATAGGCAAACCTATCTACTCCTATTAGAAGAGAAAAAAATAATAATTACTGAATAAAATTTCAGATAGAGAGTACAGAGTTGAAGAAACTGGAAACCCAATCCTAAACAGGAAACAAGGGATAAACCTCTACTCCTGTTCATGATAAAGCCTAATTTATAAAATAGGCAAAACAAGAGCTTAAGAACAGTAATAGTAAAATAATTACATCAATAAACTGTAATGAAAGTTATGAACTAGATAAAAGATTTATTCTTACTGTGGATCTTATCAACATTTTTCCTTATAAAGTCAAGAATGTTCACTTTTTATTTAAATGAAATCCTTTTATTTCAATCTTGGTATATTCCAATTGCTAGCATCACTATTTGCTTCAGGGTTATTAAGTAAAACTTTTGAATTATTTATTTCTGGAGTTGATATCAGTGGAAATTAAATTGATTGGATGTTCAACTTCATACAGATTTGTTTACTATGTTTGTGTTTGGCTAGATAATGTGTAATGTCTACTATGCTTGCGTTTGGCTAGATAATGTGTAATGCTAGGGATAAGGAAGAAGGGAAAGAATTTCAATTTTGGTTTATGAGTTTATATGTTCTGAAACAAATCAACTTTTTAATTCATTATATCAAATTAATGCCTACCTAATGAGTTATCCACTTCTCTTTGGGAACAAATAGTTTTTTTTTTTTCTATTAAAAGATTTAAATTAGTTAACCTAATTAAGAAATGCACATCTCTTGTTGCATTTTTTAAGTAGGGTAATTGAACCTTTCTTTGCTCTAATAAGCTTCTCATAGCTTAATGGTAAAGCATGTTTGATTTGAATGTGCTTTCCCAGTTTAAAAAAGTAAATACAGGTGCAATTTCTGTCAGGAAATACATTTTCTTTATTAAGTATTTTGATCACTAGATTGATAAACATCAATTTCACCGTTTAAAAAAGACAGGGATATCTACTCTAATATAGGCACCCACTATAATATGACATTTACAGTAACATTATGTATATGTGTATGGTATACATGATTCTATTGGCTACATATAGAGCAGAAAGTTTTAAACATTCAGCCAACAGATTCTTTCCTACCACACTGACAGCAAATGGTTTTTAATAATGATTGATGCATTTACTGATTGTATTTATTTGTTTTCTATGGCTTATCAACCTTTTGTAGGTTATTCAAATCCAGAAAATATTTTTAGGTTGTTGTAATCTTTTTTTTTGTTGGAGATAATGATTTAGTGATACAAGTTTTACTAATTAACCCATTGCTGGGGGAGAAGAGGTGGATTCAGACATTTTTCAAGGGTATTTGTGTGTAAGTAAATAGAACAAACCCAGCAGAAATTGGAACTTGACTCTCTGATTAACAATTCCAAGTCAAAAGTACTTGAACAAAAAACAACAGAATCTTTGGACAGTTCATCCATATTTCAATCCCAACTTACATCTTATTAAAATATTTTCACAGGGGTACAAAATTTTATTACAACAATAAAAATAGACATATTTAAAAAGCATTCATAAAAAAAAACTGGTAACAAAAAAAAATTACAATAAATTAGAAAATTGGAAGAATAAAATAAAATATTAAACAAAATCAACCCCATTGGCTGAATTTAATCAAATTTATTTGGATAAATACTTGCTGCCTAAATACACCTTTACATAAATGCATTCATGATATTTGCCTTCTACTTATTAAGCATGGCTATCATACAACATCCCACAATGATTCAATACCTGTGCATGAAATTTGTAAAGTGAACCCCATTCTTTGAACAACACAAGCAATGATCTGAAAAGAAGAGGATATTGGTTGCTAATGTACTACAAGTGTTACATCAGAGTTTTCTTTCTCCTAGAGAGATGTCCTAACAAAGACTAAGAGATCTCCCCCCCCCCACCCAATGATTATTGGTGGTGTTGGGGATGTCAATGAATGACCTTCATCTTTCCCAAAAACTATAACTAAGGTCTGCTCACCATAGTTGCAGTATAAACCACAGTTGGGCTATGTAGATGTTGGACAAACAATTGTGCCTGAGTAGGCATCTGCAACAGGGATTGGCTAGTTACCCAAGCAGACAGGTGTGCATGCAAAATGAATATTAGCTCTCTCTCTCTCTCTCTCTATATATATATATATATATATATATATATATATATATATATATATATTTCTAATTGTAACTTTTTTTTCACACTCAAACAATTCCAGATTGGACAACTGCCATAGAGCAATGTATAGTAAACTAGTATGGCAAGCCAGTATCAGTGAATTCAATCTTCAGTGAGTACTCCATAACAATGGTGTTATGCCATACTCAGCTAATTTTAATAAACATCTCCAAATTATTTCCTATTCTTACCTTGCAAAGTCCATCATCACCACCAGTGAAGAGAATTTGCGAATTTTCATCTGCAAAAGCAACTGCATTTACGTCATCATCGTGGGCTTCAATCTAGAAAATAAGATAATTCATATTAAAAAATTGTGATATTTTATTTAATCCCTGCCTATTTTTTATATAAACAACAAATAAAATATATAGAAAATTTCTATAGTAAAATTATTAATTACCTTTTTTACATTCACTTGTTATTACAACATTTTGGCCATTGTGTCCTCTAACCATCTTGAAGTGCTTGTTTATACAGGTAACCTTCAGGGAATTTCAAACTGAACCCTTTATTTAATCTATAGGGACAATTTTTTCTTGTTCTGCTGTCTATATTTGGGGATACCTTGGCTTGTTTTAGTAAAATTATTTCCAGTTGTATAGTAAATTAATTTCCAATGAATCTACATATGCTTTTAGTATTTGTTGTGTCACTATATGTACATTCATTAAAGTGAATTAAAGTTTTTATGTATTTGTTTAACAAATCATTTCTATTATACCATAGGCTAAATAAATAATGAGTAAACAATAGTGCATCCATCCCAGTTTTATTTTAGATAATATAACAAGCTATGGCAATATAACTATTCTAAATTTGTTTTTTTTAAGTGATTTTTAAAGCTGTTTTTATTTTATTTATTAAAAAAAAGAAAAAACAAGATGAACAAATGTATCCCGTAGCACATTACTATCATCATTTATAGTTTAACAAATTCATTTAGCAAAAATCAAGCATAAGTAGTCTTATATAAAAATTTCTAGTAGGAACTGAAATAAAAATAGTAAATAAATAAAAAAGAAGCGTAGAAGACAGTCTGCTAAACTATTATTTAACATTATTATTTTTAGGGGGAAGTGTATCGCTGCTCCAACTTCCTGGGGTTAACCTTTGAGGTTAGATGGATGGCAAAACAAGGAAGTTGATTTTAATTGGCTGAGCCAGTGTGAGAACGATAAATAGAGAAAGGATTTTTGGGGATTTGGTTCTTACATGTCAAGCAATGTAGATGTGTTTACTTTTGTGTCTGGAAACTGCTCCCCAGTGAAGGGAGAGAACAACCCCACTGGCTAGTCAGAAGATGTATACATCAGCATTAATAAACTAACCAAATTAAAATTCCCAATGTTGAAGTTCTTTCATCTCTGAACCCAAACTGACCAGCAACCGTGCGAGAGAAGAATGTAACTTTATTATGGAATTGAAGCTGTCACCCCAAGACCACCCTCGACAAAGAGGCTATACAACATTGTATTAATTGGCACAGTGACCAAGACCTCCCAGCATGATGGGCCTATTCAACAATAATGATGGTATTCAAACATCCAAAGCAGTTGTGAATCTGTTAATAATGAACGAATATAACTAAAAAAAAACACGAAGCCATATTCAGTAATTTTTCAGCATTTTTCACAAAATTTTATTTACGGTTTCATTAATTAGTCAAAGTATTTTTCCCTAACTTTTTATGAATTTATACCAACTTTCAGGTGAATTGCATCATAAAACAATGATTTCAGTTTTTATTTGACAATTGCTTTGTAAAACAATTTTGGTATTTCAAATTTGTTTGAAAGGTAATAATTGTATGGAATGAAACAAGTGACAAGTTGGAATATAACATCTTTGGAGAATGCACTGTAACAGTCTGTCCAAACTGCAGCAATTTTGGATGAAGAATTCCCTTCAATTCCACCAAGTGCAACAGAACATTTCCCCCTTGGATTTAAAGCCATAACTTAAAATATATAATGAATATTTTTGTGGGGTTAATCTAGATATTTATAACATTTTTGCTTTTGGTAAATTTTAACAAAATTACTAACTTCACTTCCTTCTTAGGAAATGTTGCAGAGCTTAGTGATTTGGTTACCTTAAAATGTTTTTCGAAAATATACAGAAACCTCAAAAGCAATTGATAACAGATGTATGAATTAAAATTGATTTATTAAAAAACAATATGCAAAATTACTTACAGTTAACACCTTTTGATTACTTCCTCTATCGTATATATAAAAGCAACCACAATTTGCACTGGAAAGCAAAAAAAAATAAAAACTATAGTAATATTATTCAGAAAATTATTTTAATACATGAATGAATTGGTGATAAGCAAATATGGATTCAAATTGACTGTTAGTGAAGCTGTTAGATATGGCTTAAGGCTATATGTTGAAATACTGGGTCTTGTCAGATAATAAAAGTTAATAAACATTGAGCCTGGTCACTACCTAGATGGCAATACCAGGTGCTGTATGCTTGGATATGCAATGTGCAGGTGGTGTAATGGATGATAGCTTGTAATGACAAATTGGAGATCTGAGTTCAAATTTCAGTCGGGTTTGTTACATTTACTTACGTGAAAATACTCTTGGGTGATCATGAATTGAAGAGACATGATCGCTCAAGTGTGTCATATCCACCCGCTCCTACCAACATGAATGGGGTCAGCATGGTAGGGTAACAGCCTCTCCCTTCCCACGAGGCCTACGTCCAACAAAGGATATTCACAGGCTGAATAGATAGATAGATAGAAGCTGTTAGATGCTAATAATAATGATTGTGCTACTTTTAATAATTTATCTATTAAAGCATATGTTAGAATAAATTCAACCCCATGTTTGATGATCTTGGAAATCTAAGTTAAAAGTTTCTATGTAAATTAAAGGAAATAAAGTTTGAGTGAAATCCCTAAAGAACACAAAGTTTGGTGCATTTTCTATTGTAGAAAGCATGTTTTATTCTGGCTGGTTGTTTTTGTTTAGCAGCATATCAACATCTCTATGGGTTATTTAATGCCAAAATCTAAATACTTTGTATGCAATTATTTTTTTTTTTTTTGAGATAATAATGGTTTTAGTGATACAAGTCTTACTAATTAACCCATAGCTGAGAGGGCAGAGGTGGATTCATACCTTTCCCAAGGGTATTTGCATATAAATGAATATAATGAACCCATCTGGAATTTGGAACTCAGCTCTCAGAGTACCAATTTTGAACTATTATCCATTACACCACCCACACATCCAAGTTTACAGTACCTGGTATTCCCAAGCAGTCACCCATCTAGGCACTGACCAGGTTTGACATTGCTAAACTTTGGTGATTGTACTGGAAGCAGTGCTTCAACATGATATGGCCATAAGCCATGTTTTATTCTGGACTCAGCAAGCAAGTATTCTGGCAAATTGAGGTGACTGGTACATGTGTAGTCAATAATTATATATATATATAATTATGTATATTTATTAAGTTTAGCTTCATACTTTACAAGGTTACATGTAAGATGTTTTCAGTGAGTTCTAATCTCACTCATAATAATGTTCTTTAAGAATGGCTTGCTAACCATTATTCCATTGTGATGTGAGGCTGTTATGCTGGGTGATTTTTAAGCCAAAATTTTGCATGTAATATGGTACAAATATATTTTGTAAGTCCTTTTTCTGAAAGACAACAATAAAATTACTGTATTTTATAAAAGAGAAAAAATGTTGATTATATATGTTTGCACATGTAAGCAAACTACAAAATGGAAAAAATTAATACATTTAATTCTGAGAAGGAAAATTGACATGACTTAAACTGATTGGTCTATTTGTAGACAAATTTTGGTAGGGAAATAATTTTTATAGATTAGCATTCATTAAACCATCAAATGAAAATATTTGTCAGAATTGAAAAATATTGATTTTTTTGTTGATTTAAAGACTTATCCATATTTTGTTTTTATTTACAAATGTCAAGTTTGAAACTGTGCTTATAAAATTGATAACTATGTATTACTGATGTTTTTCCTTTTTATCAATTTGTTATTGTACACAGTTATCAATGATAGAAGCCTAATTTCAGACTTGACATTTGGAAATAAAATCAAAGTACGGTTAATTAACTCTTTAAGAAGTCAGGTATTAATTTGACACTATATTTACAAGGGTCAGCTGAAAAGCTCATAGGCTGACCAAGATATAAATGTAAGTAGACAATAGTTGGTAGACTAAAAGACCTGCATGTGTACCAGAATGCAACAGCTGGTCAGCCACCTGTTGTATTTTGATACACTAGCACTGAACTTTTCAGCCAACCCTTGTATATTATGAACAGGACCACCCACTTTCTAAAATGATAAAAGAAAAGAAAATCAATATTCTTTTTAATTTTGACAAATGAATGGTAATAAATGCTAATCTATAAAAGTTGCTAAAAGGTAAAAGAAAAATTATTCCCTATTTCTGATCAGGTCTTTCGATTTAATACCCAGAAAATCTTCAGACTGATAATGGTTTTACAGATGGAATCAGACATATGTAAAGTGATTTGATCAATAAAAATTATGAGTATGAAGATGTACCTTCTCAGAACGAAACATCACTAATAAGTTTTTTTTTCCATTTGGTTATTTGCTTACCCATGATTAGTCTGATATATCTATAGATCATATCTTTCATATATATTTGTTTGTGTGTGTGTGTGTGGGTGGGGGCAAAGTACTTTGAAACTATGAGTTTATTGCAACTTTGATCCTTCAAGGATGGTTTCATAATAGCTGGTCACCAATGAAACATACAACTGGTGGCTTTATGTGTCTTCTCACTAAACTTATTCAACCTATACAGCAAGGCAATTCTGAAACTCATACCAGGATTCATTATTGGCAGCCATAATCTTAATAACATACAATATGCAGATGATACAGTGTTGATAGCAGACACAGAAATAAAACTCCTACAGAAGGTAATGATGGAAAGTGAGAAGAAAGGATTAAACATTAACTACAAGAAGACAGAATGCATGGTTGTTAGCAAAAGGATGAGGCCAAAGTGCAAATTGGAGATACCAACATCAAACAAGTCCAAAAATTTAAATATATGGGAAGGGTTTTAACAAAGGACAGAAAATGTGGCACTGAAATCCACAGGTATATTGGGATAGACAAAGATGCATTCTAAAAGCTAAGCAGAGCATTAAGAAATAGAAAAACTTCATTAGAAACAAAGAGAACTGAACTGTTATGTGATATTTGTCTTCTTGTATGGCACTGAGTGTTGAACAATCTCATCAAAAATGAAGAGACTTGAAGCAACAGAAATGTGGTTCCACAGAAGGATGCTGAGGATACAATGGACTGACCATGTGAGCAACGATGAAGTTTTAGAGAAAATGGAAACAAAAAGGAAACTTATACTTAATATCAAGAAGAAACAGTTGAGGTTCCTAGGGCACATAATGAGGAAAGAGGGCTTAGAAAATCTGATACTGACAGTATGGATTGAAGGCAAGAGAGGAAAACAATGCATAACATACTTAATGAGATTGAGTAAATGGATGGTGAAACAGGGTTTAGGAGAAATAACAGACAAGGGACAGGAAGTTGTGGAGAGCCATGATCGCCTATGTCCCAAGGAGACATGGCACATAAAGAAGAAGAAGCTAACATATCATTGCAGTCACACCCTGATAAGGAGCTTTAGTTAAGGGACCAAGACCATAACCTATAGTAATGACAGAAATATATTGGCCCTTGTAGTCAAAGTCAGATTTAGTTTAACCAAATTAAATTAAATCTGTTAATGCACTACCCTAAAGTTTGGTATTATTTTAAAAAAATATCTGGTACTTATTATCATCATCCATTCCATGACCAGGTGTGCTTGTAGTGTTGCTGCACAACTGAGAACCAGTTCCCTCCACATACCTGAGTTAATTCATAGTGGATCTTAGGCAAGTAGACCTGGTAAAGTCCATCCCTCTCCTGTTCAAACCAAAGCCAATTTGAAAGCTCATCTTAGTTACAAACATTTGGCCATTGACTTCATCAGAGAAACTCTCTGACCTGCCTTCAGTCTAATAAGCCCTTTGCCCAGTGATGTTGTGTCGTCACTGCACTGGCTCTATACATATCTATGGAACCCAGTTTACCTCATTATGCTTGATGTCCATTGAAACTACAAGGTTCATTTGACATTTTGATAGGTCTTGTTTTTAAAACTAGCTCCCCTCTTCACTGGAAAAACCTGGTTGGGCAATGGACTTGGCTGGTTGGACCCAGGACTTGCTACATGTTCAGGTCATCAGCTAGTTACTGATGACCTGAACATGTGGCAAGTAGTCGTGATTTGTATGGTATCAGTAGCACTCAGTTAGCCATTATATCATTAAGCCAGGTTCCTCTATGGGTTTATTAAAAAAAAAAAAAAATTTATTTATAAATTGCTACCTATGCCAGTTGTGCCCAAAAGGGGATGGTGTATATTAACGTGTTAAAATGCCATTGGCAAATAGCTGTGAAAGCAACAAAATCTTGCACATTGGGTTTGCCCAGGTAAACCAAATGCATAGGATTCTGGTAGCTCCCATAAAAAAGAATTTGGAGAACCTATGACTATTCTAATAAATCCATGTCCTGTTATCAAATAATAAGTCATGTATGTATATTAATCTATTGGAGTACTTATATTGCTTCTTATAGGATAAAGCATTTTTGATAAATCATTGGTAAACTGCATTAATTTACCTGGTTATAGACAATATAGTTGTCTGATAGTTGTGAGTTCAATTCCTGAGTCAGGCAATGAAAATTATACTGGTTTAGTAAAGAAAAAAAAAATGAAACAAACAAATGTGACATCACTAGGAAGAATTGACCATTATGAGATATCTTGTAGCATGTGGAGTAAAATGAAAACAATCTATTCACATGGCTTGAATAAAGGGTTCAGTTTGAAATTTCCAGGTTACTGAAAAATATAAACACCTGAATAAGATCAGAAGCTACAACACCTGTAACGTGACTAACAAGAAAGATGGTTACTTTAATTTAAATAGATCAGGGGGATAATAATGATAATTCTATATCTCATCACCCATCCACTTTTGTAAAATCAATTATTAAATAAATTATGCTAACATAAAATATGTTAGAAAGACACATATAATAATCAAAGCAAATAAACAAGTTACTTAAGTTATATAACCAAGAAGAGAAAGCAGAAAAAGAACAACAAAAAAATACAACTTACCCTCCCAGAATTTCCTTATTATCCAAAGAAAATGTCAATGAAAATATGCAAAAGCTGCTTTGACCAGGAAATAAAGGAAGTGCTTCGTGGGTTTCTCTGTCTCCTTGTAAATTACAAAGATGAACTGGAAAACAAATAGCAAATGTTACAATAAAAATAAGAATCACATTAAGATATATATATATATATATATATATATATATATATATATATATATATATATATATATATATAGAGAGAGAGAGAGATAGATTAATTAATATTATTAGTGCTAAATATACACATAGGTCTGATGAATTGCATTGTATTTACGATTCCAATGGAATAAATTATGACCATGGAATATTAGTGTTTAAGCCTTTTATTATATAAATATAAATGACAATAGGAAGACTGTAGTTGTTGCTGATGTGTTTCGTCCAATGTGGACTTTCTCAAAGCAAAACACGAAATGAATTTCTACAGGTTAACTCTGAGAAATTTTCATATATATATATATAAAGAATTAAGTGATTTATTTTTGATCCAACATTTTTATTACATCAATTGTTATTATAGGAGATACTCATATTCAAAATGTTAGGCTATGAGGACCTCCTTAGCAGGCCTAATATAGTAGTAAATACAATATAGTAATCTTATATATAAAGTACAGTGTGTGTGTGTGTGTGTGTGTGTATCCAAGCAACTCCTCTGCTCACACTGGTCCAATTTGAATGATTCATAGCTCATTCAAAAGCCCTAGAAAAGTTAGGTGAAGGGAACAATTTTCATTGAGCTCAGATTCAGGGTTGCCAGATTATGCGAGGTTAAAAAATATATTAATATATTTTACTAGCCATTATCATTGCTTTCATGTTTCAAGGGGAGTAACTCTTATTTTCCTTTTGTATCCAGAACTGCAGCTAGCTTAAAAGCTGCCCTATCAAGCAGCATTTAAGCTAGCCCCTGTCAAGGACTCTTGGTTTGGCCATCATCACAATACCTAGGGAGGAGTAGATAAAATAGGTATCAATAAGCTACAGAACTCAAACTTGATTGCTACATTTAAGTATTGAATTAATGTTTAAGCTTACCTTTTAAAAGCTCAACAACAATTCTTCTGCTGCCACTTAATTTAAAGACCATTTGATGTATGTAGATCCTTATTTTCCAGACAAACAATTATTTTTATTTCATGGGTGACAGAACAAGGGACAATTTATAAGATAAAATTAATATAGTGTAAAGATGGGAAAATAGAAATCAGAATTAGTTATACATTCAACATTTGAAGAGTCAGAGAAACAGAATAGCTAATTGAGTAAAACCTATATTATGGAATCTATATGAATAAATGTGAAATTGGAGCTCAATTCTCACACAAATTCTAAGATTAAAAAGCCCCAGCTCTACTTTATAGTAATTTGATATTTACTTGAAACGAGTCATGTTTAATGGGGGGACCCCGAGTGCATACACATGGGCTAGTAACAAAAATTCCGAGAGACCCCACAACCATTGGTTGCTCAGGCCTCAGTGCAAGCACCAATCTCTTTCTCTCTAGTGCAATGAGAGGGTGCAGCCTTGGGCAACTGTTCCCCAGGGCCGGGCACCTCTCAGTATAATTTTCCTCAGTTGCGACTGTCATTTGATGGAGCTGCCTCTGAACACACTCTGCTCAGAGACAGAGACACAACTGAGAGATGATAAATAATGTGTTACAAACTACTTTATAGTAATTTGTATTTACTCAACCACCCACGAGGTCAGGTTGTGACACAAGATTGGTTTAATGTAGGGAGCCCAAGCGCATACACCCGGGCTAGGAACAAAAATTTCTTGCAGCCCCTACAACTGTTGGTTGCTCAGGCCTCAGTGCAAGCACTAATCCCTCTCTCTAGTGCAATGAGAGGGTGCAGCCATGGGCAGCTGTTCCCCAGGCCAGGTACCTTTCAGTATAATTTTCTTCATTTGCAACTCTGTCTTTTGATGGAGCTGCCCCTAAGTGCACTCTGCCCAAAGACATAGACACAACTGAGAGATGATAAATAATTTGTTACAAACTACTTGAGAGGGTAATTTATATACTAAAAGCTCAATATCTGTATTATATATTATCTACTTCTAGGCAATATCACTCTTCAGGTTTAACTAATTTGCTTATGATTTTAAAAAAGTTTATTTCATTAACTGTCCTTCATTACTGTTCTTTTATTTAAGGATTGTTTTGATTTTCATATCTAAAATAGTTCTGTTTAGGAATATTGTCTTAGATAGTGCAGAAAAGTGTTTGAAATTTGCATCTTACTTGACCTTCAACAAGTTGGTATTTATTTGTAAAACTTTCCTTAACTATAACAAGCCAATTACTGAATGAAATGTTCATTTAAGATTTTTGTTTCAAAGATTTCAAGTAGTGAATATATCTTTGTGAAGTGATAGCGAGAGGGCAAAGCCAGCTAGTCACTAATAAAGAAAAACAAATGACAGCAATTCTTCAACAGCAGCAGCAGTTGAAGCAGAAGAGAAAGCAGACAAGCAGCAGCACTCACTGAAGCTTTCTCTTCTGTTCTACAGGCAGGTTATGTTTAAGGCTCAAAGTTTTCCACAGAGGATTGTCTCACAGGACAATAGCCTAGTGGTTTAAAGCATTGGTTTGTGAATTTGGTGACATAGTAATTGTGAGTTCATGCCTCTTAAGTAATAACTGGACCAGATTAAATAAAGGATTCTACTTGAATACTTTACCTGGAATGACATACATCTAATGAAGGTCGGAGGAGACAACAGTCAAAGCGTTGGAATCACAAGATGAGGAAAATAGACTACATGTAAATAATGTAAAATCATCTTATTAAAAATATAGCACACATTTAAACACTGCCCATTTGAGAATTCACAGCACACTCCAAGATAGTGTTACCATCCACATTGAGAGTCGTTGGTTTAAAAATTTATGATTTTTTTAAAAGTCTAAACAATCTTTATTAAACATTATCTACATATGGACTATTGTCCTTTGTTGTAGTTATCACAACATTTTGACTATTGCACTTTCCAGCCTTCATCAGGTTCTTGTGATAATAACAATGAAGATAAGGATAATAGTCTGCATGTAAAAAATGATAACTCATCATCCCAAAGATTCAGACAGAAATTAAGCAAACTTTGTTATAAAAGGAAAACAGTTTGTAGCAAAATTAATGACTGACATGCTGCTAGAAAGATCAAAAAATTTGAACAGTGTGAACAAACCAAATGTAATTGGCTACTCTTTGTGGCTGTATACAAATGGCATTCAAGGTGACTATTTTTAAATAGACAGTGGAAAAAGGATGTTAGGTTAAGTAATTTATAAGGCAAGTCACTTACACTTAGAAGATTAACTTAATATAATCTACTCGGTCTCCATCCCCCACCTAACTATTTTCGGCTTCATACTGAAATTATATTGGTTATATATATATATATATATATATATATATATATAACAGAGGATGTCTATGTGTCTGTCACTTGAGATTCATCCAACTGATTTTGACTGAACTTGTCATATAAATTATACAATGTAAGAGATAGGTTTTTAGCATAAAAAAAATCGATAATTTTTAAAAATCAATAAGCTGATCAAAACTCGACAAATTAAACTTTTTTCCTCCAACTTCGTTTAAATTCAGTATGTAGGTTACTTACATAATGACAAGTTCAACGATACCTCATTTTTATTTCTACACCACTGTGTTTAGTGAAAAACTGTGAAAAATGAGAAATCAATTTCAACTCAAATTTTAAACTAAAGACTCCCTCAATTTTCAAGCAATCTAATACAAACTTTACTCAATTGTAGCCAACAATAAGTTGATTGTTTAACAGTCATTTAACTTGGTAATCGAGTCCACCCACACAATGAAAACCTGTGTAAATAGCAAAAAATGGCAATTTTTACTGGTTTCTTTTTTATTTTTCATTGATCTTTCAATCAATTTTCCCCAAACTTAATTGCTTTATAAATGTATCCTCTTTTACATTCCTAGTAATATACTGACAAATTGAATTTCAAAAAGTCCAAAATAATTGTGGTCTGAAGTGGGTTGTCATGTTGCCTGTTTTACCCCTTCTAACTTCAATTGAAATAAATACAGATTACTTCTGATGTATCAGTAACCGCATTAATTCAAAATGTTATTTAATGAAAGTACTTTAAAGTAATTGAAGAAAATAAACTGTTACATCTAAGCATGATGCTATTTTTGCTCCATTTTAATTGAACGCTTTTTCTGATCGACCAGCTGGGTATGACTGCTAGTTTTCTATAAAGTAGCAAAATTAAATACCTTCCAAATAGTAATTAAGCATTTTTTTTTAGTCAATTCAATTTTATCTAATCCATATTCACACAAGTTTAAAAAATTAAACACAAAAGAAAATAACCAATAAAATATAGTGAAGGTAAATGTGTCTCTTAAGTCTTAAGTAATGACAGGTTGAGACAAGCATGACATTCTATTACATTGGTTTGGAGTTAGGACAGTACAATACTACATACATCTGGAGCTGCTTTCAAATATTGAAACAAGTTTCAGTATTAAGTAGCTAAAGTTCTGAGTGGGCGTTGGGCATGATCTGAAAAGCAGAGACTCCATTTTGCATAATATACAAACATGCCTAAAACTTGCTTCACTGTTGGCATTTTTGAAGGTATCAAGATGCCTGTTACCTAGATTTGTCAGGCAGAACTAAGCTATAATCAAGTATGGATATTTTGGTAAATGGTAGACATGTGAATTGCTATCTGCAACCATCAGCCTCAAGAGCAATAAATGAAATTACACAGCAATAATTTATGGTAAACACTCTTCAGATCAAATGTTGAAAAACAAAAAGAAAACAAACAAATATAATACTTTTAATATTATCTTCTAACTTCTGCCAACCAGCTTATTTTTGGGTATCACATAAATATAAATTTAGTTTTTTGTCAATCCATGGTTTTCTTATAATTTATTTATTTTGCTTCTTTCAAACCTTAGTTCCAAATAAAAGATTCTAATTATATAAACCAGATAACCTTGATATATTTCTGATCTACTTGTAAAATTTAAGTTACCTGGTCTTCAAAATTAACTCCATTCTGATTGGTTACCAATTGTATATTTCACTAGCTTGTAAAATCTGCACTAGTAACAGTATCACACAATTTTGCTATTTAAAGTTATACACTTAACCATTTATAAGTGATATTTAATCATATGTAAAAGGAGAATGGGACATGCAGGTGGTATAATGGATTGCAGCTCAGAATTATAAATAAATTGGAGAACCAAGTTTGAATTCCAACCGAATTCATTACATTCACTTACATGTAAAAGGTATGAATCCAGCTCTTATCCCTACCCGCTATTGCTTAAATAAACAAACTGAGTCCTATAGTCTTGATTGGCAATCATTTTAGAGATAGAGACCCTCATGAGTATGCATCAGTCCATGACAATGCATTAACTGAAATTCTTCAGTTGTGTGAATTGTGCATTCTGCTGCTTGTGGAGAAAGCGTTTTTTTAATACAAGAGAAATACTGTTTGTAATGGCTGAGTATTGACTCCGTCTTGAACTTGAATAAATTATTTCAAATTTGAACCACAATCAATGAATGTATTCAACTTGAAATAGGACATTACAATATCAGGGTTTGTATTTTTGTGTCAATAGAGTAGATATATTGAATTATTTGATCACATAAGAGAGGCAATTGAGTAATGTAATAAATAGATACCACATCTTGATAAAATTCCTCTCAGAGACCCCAGTATCATATGAATGTTGGATTCACAATAATTATTTGGTGTTAGCACAATGGGTTGAATTAGGTGTATTTATTTGTTATTATAAATCTGGATATTGACTTTTTGTATTTAATGTTTCAAATGATCAAAAACTTCAATTTTTCTCTTTTGAAAATGTTGTGGGTAGAACATTTCTGTTTAAATTAGGACATCAAGCAGTTAAGTCAATGACATAAATTTGGCAAAGGAACTATTTGCAAGTGAACAAAACAACAGTGGTTTCAAGTGAAAAAAAATTAGACAATTTAATTCTACATTAATTGACAGAAAATCAGAACTTGCATTGTTTTGAGGTGTGCTCATTATCACTTAATCAAATATTTCTGAAATGTATTTGTTGGTTCCAATCTGTTTGGGAGGAATAATAAAAACATCTCCCCAAATTTATAGACAACTCATACAGATGCATGCTGGGATTTCTTCCTAACCAATAAAATGGACCACTTCTCAGTATATATGCTATATTTTTGTTTTGAAGTCAGAATGCTACAATCACTTGACTGCATCCCTTTTGCATGTTAACATCATTCTTACTTTGTGATATTTTTGTCTTATTACTGTTGTTTTGCCTAGTTTTGTCTTGTGTATATAGTCAATGATGAAACTATTCATACACCAATCACTTTTGAATATTTTTATCCATTTTTCAGTATCTAATGTCCATATGATACCATATTTTTTATGTTAATAAGCACAAAAAAATGGAATATAAAACTCAATTTTCAGAATAGGTTAAATACAACAAATTTGACAGGTGAATTATGCAAAATAGGAAAAGACATATTTGTACAGTATTAAAAATAGTAAAAATTGAACTTTCACAATATTAATAATCAATAACATGGCCTCTCATCTTTATAACTTGCTGCAATCATTTTCTAAAGTTTTTGATGAGATTTGAACAAGTCTTTCATGGACTTGATTCCATTCTTCTCTGGTTACACGTTCTTATTCCTGATGGCTTTTTAGTGACCAACAACTTATTTGAACTTTCAATTCTTGCCATAGATTTTCAATAGGATTCAAGTCAGGACACATTGAAGGCGACGTTAGAACTGAAACCTTTTTTTTCTGAAGCTACGCAGTCACTGATTTAGACATATGCTTAGGATCATTATCTTGCTGGAAAGTAAATCACCAACCTACATGAAGATTTTGCACTGATAGTTGTAGATTTTCATCCAGAATTTTGATATAATCTGTAGATTTCATTATTCCTCTTACTGCAGTTGTCCAGTCCCCCTTGAGCTAAAACAACCCCAAAACATCATCGAGCCACCTCCATATTTAAATGTTGCCAATGTATTCTTTGGGAGGAAAGACTCACCTTTCTTGTGCCAAATCTTCTCTACATCATTATGTCCAAAAAAGCTCAATTCTTGTTTCATCACTCCATAGTACTTGTTCCCAAAAGCAATTTTCTTTGTCCAAGAATGTTTTGGCAAAATTAAACTGAGCAACAATGTGACATGGTTTGTGAAGAAGGGTTCGTCATGGTCGGTTTCCATACAACCCAATTCTATTTACAGACTGTTGTATTGTGCAATTACTTACACTGATACTCATCATATCCAAACTTTTGGTGATGTCTTTCAAAACAACTCTTGGGTTTATATTAACCTCACAACACAGTTTTTGTGCAATTCTCAGTAGCAATTTTGTTTTACTTACACACCAAAGCAAATTCTTTGTTATGCTAAACTGTTTAAACTTCTTTATAATGGATTGTAATGTAAATCTAGGGATAGTTAACCAGTCTGAAATAGTGCTATAACTATTTCCCTACTTGTGGAAGTTAATAATTCTTTATCTCAAGTCAATGGTATGCTCCTTTGTCTTCCTCATCATGCTGTTAATGTAAGAAGAACAATGCTGACACTTTATGCACCACGTGGCATTCTTTGCTGGAATATTCTACTGAATAAATAGTCTAGAAGGCTTCACTGATAAAATAATTATGTAAATTACTTATACTTACATGAATCAATCAATTTAAAATGATATTTTCTACTGTACAAATAATTTTATCTTTTCATATTTTGCATAAGTTGCCTGTCAAATTTGTTGTATTTGAACTATTGTTCTGAAAACTGAGTTTTATATTCTTTTTTGTGCTTATTAATATATATATATATATATATATAAAAAAAAACTGGCATTATACAGGCATTAGATTCTAAGAAAACAGATAAAAATATCCAAAATTAATGGGTGTACAAATAATTTTGTTGTTGATTGTATATTGTTTGCTTACTATTGTTCTACCCTGTTTATTTTCTTTCATTGTTGTTTATTGGAAATTTTTGCCAATTACACTTATTACAACCAATTACTCTACAGGATCAATAAAGATGCATATTTACTATTTTACTTTTCCCTGCTAAAATCCAGCATTTCATGTGGTAGAACCTTATACTTTCATTAAAATAAATTCTCATTTCTATCTCCCTTTTCTATGAAATAAGATTTATGAATAAGAAAAAAACAGATTTCTAAGTAAACTGGACTGGGTAGTGGTCAAGTCTCACAAATGAAAAGAGACAGAACAATGTGGACATTTGATATTAGAATATAAGATTGATTGTTTTTTATAGCTTAACTATAAAATGATCAAAATATATATGAATTTTTTATCTTCTAGTCATACAAAATTGGTTATGAAATGTGTTGGATATACACTGTAATTTGATATACAAATTGCTACCCAAACATAAGGAGCATTTGAATTGCAAAATAACCAAATGTAGAATAAATACTAGTTGTAACCCTTTGTGAACTATTGCCAAACTGACTACTTTGAAGGAGACAGTTGAAACTAGTAATTTTTTTTATGGTCAAACATGGAATATTGCTGTCATATATGGTCTGGTGCTCCCTCTGTACATCTTGAGGTCTTTGACAAAATCCTGAGACGAATATACAAAATAATAGGTCCTGATCTGGCATCTAGTCTAAAATTGCTATCCCACAGATGTGCCATGGCCTCCCTCTGTCTCTTCTACAAGTATTTTCATGGCAACTGTTCCGGCGAGCTACTTTTGCTGGTTCCCAGACTACATGAATTTAAATGAGCTACCAGGCTCACTGTCAAAACGGTTTAATGTAACTGTCTTCTACTCAAACAGCTTCTTCTTCCACACTTCCCATCTGTGGAACTTCCTTCCCCGATGACTATAATCTTCAAATATTAAAGTGTAATGTCAATTGACATCTGACACCCTGAGCTTGTTCCCCATCCTTCTCTGTATCCTTTCCTCAAACATGCCTCTTTACTCTTGTTCTCAATCCTCTGTAACCCTTGTGTGATAGTGGTACTCCCCCCTTGCTTGGGGTGAATTAAAAAAAAAAAAAAAAAATTCCCTCTAAAATTTTTGTAAGCACTTCAAACTCGGTGTAAAGCATTTGTCTCATGAGGATAAATGATACATCTGGTTTAATGTTCCTGCAGTTAGTATCATAAAAGTGTTATGGTGACCTTCCCCTTTAGGGTAATGGTGAAGTACTGCTCTAGAGTTGGTATCCCCAGGAATAAGGCACATTTACTTTGTGTTGCTATAATATGTAGCTGATCCAAAAGTATCTTGTGACATTTTAGGAGGTTAAAATATTGTTCACATGAAAAACATTTTACACACAAAGTAGAAGCAGCATTCAGTAAATATGATGGTTCAATTATAAGTAGATAAAAAATAAAAAGGTTATACTTGCAATCTACAAGAATACTTACTGCAATCTGACCAGCTGGAGTATATCAGATAATTTCCATCAGGACTGAAAGACAAAAAGAAAAACAACATTGTTTGGTCCTTAAGTTTCATTAGAATACTAATAAAAATAATGAACAAAAGACTAAAAAGTTATATATTTTTTTTACCTATGTGATTAACAGAGAAGTGTATTGGCAAAATGACAAAGAATGGGATTATGTTGAAAAATATTTCTTGTATAAAATAAATACTTTTTTCATTATGAGGCTAAAGACTTAGTGATATACCTATGTGTATATAATATAATTTCACATATTAATTACATTTTTTTTTTTGGTAAGTAGGGTCAACTTTGGGGAAAGGGAGAAAAATAACTTTACCTATCAGGAGAGATAAGAGATATCTTTACCTAAGCAATACTGAGTAGTTTATATGAAAAAAAAACAGTAAATATTCAAAAGGAACAAATTGTTTCATTTTTTTCTTTGATAACGATGCACAACAAAAATATTTGTGGTAAAATAATATCTTCTTATTTTAGTTTGAATAGCAGTCATATATAACAGATTCCTTCCATTCTATAGCTCAGCCTCTCATTGCTAATCAGTCTTCTTCACCCATGTTCTGTCTATTTTAAATATGAGGTCATTTGACAAGTTAGTTAAAAAGTGCATTGAGCTAAACAAATATGTTCATAACAAAAAAAAAAAAAAAGAAAGAAAAATAATCTGCAGCATAGAGGAGAAACATTTATTATAAAAATAACTGTGTTTATTCAGTTAGAGTTTCAACATTAATCCTTGTTTAGTATTGTGGTTTTCCTCATTATAGTTGAATTCTCACACAGTTAATATTTACCAGCTCATTGGATCAGTGGCAGAAAATACAAACATGAAACTATGTCTGTCCTGAAAGCAAAGTTAGTTTTCAATTATCCTCAATTTGTCTGAAATTCTAAATTTGATGATAAAACTTTGTTTTTATCAAGTTTGGGCCTATTTTCAACAGTGAATTTTTGGAGGTACCTACTCTTAACCTTTTGTATGTGATATTTGGTCATATATACAAGAGAAATGAAGCATGTAATGGCTCTTTATTTATTGAACCTTAAAAAAAAACCCTCAACTTTTAGATTTTTTTTCTTTAAGATATTCATTTAATAGCCACTATCAGCTACCTTTAAACTTGTTATGTGACCATTTGTTAGTAATATAATCCAAATCCAAGGCCTTTTCACTTCTGTTGGAGGAACTGCACCCTGGTTGACCTCCACCACATCCCATCTCTGACCACACTGGGTCATGTGGGGACAAGGTATTGGATCAGATTGTCACACTGTCTTGCCTTTGGCTGTCCTCTAGCTCTTTTCCACTGGCTTGGTGTTCACTGTTACTTTAATAGTCTACCTATTGTCTCCGAGAAAAGAGATGTGGCAAGCTCATCTATGTTTGCTCTTCTTGATAGTCTCAATTTTGTCCTTCATAATTTGCTTCATTTTACATAGGGCCACTGCCAGATTCTTTGCAATGGTGATATTGAGCACCCATCTCTCACTTCCATAAGTCATCCCTGACAGAACATATTCATTAAAGAACTTCCTCTTAGTTTTGATTGATTTTTGTGAGGTCAAACTTTTTCAAAAGCCACCCAGCCAAACACAATCCTTGTTTTGATCTTTGGAAATAGGGCACCATCTCTTGCAATCTTTTTCCTGAATATTAGTATAATTAATTGCAAATAAATAAGGAGTACTTGATAATTACTCAAACTCCAACTACAATTATAACTTAAAGGCACCTTTATTTGTACTCCTACTAATCCCTAACCAGCAGGAATCTAGTGATAAATGATTTTTGAACATACTTGCTTACAATTTAGAAAAATTGCTTTTGTAATGAAGTGTGGAAATGTTCATGATAGGGAAAAAAAAGAGATTAATAATTTTTGTATAAAATAATAATATCCATGAAATAATATTTATAAAAACATTTGTAACAAATGTACAAAAAAAAAAAAATAGATCATTATTGTTGAGGTGAGCATGAATGAAGACACTGTTTATTATCAAGTTGTAAATTGAACTGAAAATTGCTTTATTCTTCAAGTTAGAACAATTTAACAGTATTGTCCTGGACAAAGATATCAATATAATGTTTTTTTTTTAAACAAAAATAAGACATTATTATTTTATGCGGCAATTAGTAAACTTTTCATTTCATTTCCTTTTTCAAACTTGAAATGATTTTTCAGCTTTTGTAGCAAACACACAAATGTACATTATAAGTGGAAGGTTGGCATGAAAATTGAACAGGAAATTGATTTATTCTTCAAGTTAAAGCATTTTAAGGGTATTATACTAGCAGAAGAATTCTCACTACAATGTGCCCTCCTTTTGCTGTGTTAAGGTAACAACAACATCTACAAACAAAAATTGGATTGTGAATAGAGACTCCACTCTTTTAGAGTTCTATTTTTGCTGTGTAGATAGTGGGGAAAATAGATTTAGTTTAATTACTGGAATTATTTGGATCAAGGGATCTCATTGCAATCACTCTTGGTTCACTTATTGGAAATTCTTAATTAAAAAATAAAGTTAAATATTTTTCTTTTTTTTAAATTGATGATTTATTTAGAGGGACTAATATCCTTATCTTAGTTGTTTTTATGCCAACACTTTAGGAGGTTTACAAACAACACCTTTATTTGATATACATCACATCTAGATTTTTTCTCTGCTTTATAACTTACCTGAAGGCTGTATCCAAAATACTCCAACCAACATCTCTGGCTCGAATTGATTTAATATGTTGAAATCCATCATTTGTTGTGTCATAAACACGAATATATTGATCTGCAATCAAACACTTCTATAGAAATATTTGATTTTATTAAACAATGAACAGATACAATAGATGACATTAAGCCAGATATAATATAATTACTTTGAATGACTAAGAAAAAAAAAAGAAAAGTTTATTCTTTTGTTTATTTTTAGTTCAATTTTAACAAGGTTGAGACTAAAAAGAAATAAAAATAAAGCATCTAAGAAATGATACTTTGCTAATATCATAATTCTGTTTGATCTTTCATTATTTAGTATATATGTTACACCTTGCCAATACCTCATAAATAACAGCCTATTTAATTTTGAGGAAAGACAGAAAAGACAAATCAAACACTGTTTGGTTCCAGTGAGAAAAAAAAAAAGATAGAGAAGGTGATAACACATGTTTAATGTCTGTTTCAGAGAAATGAAAAACTTTTCAGTTTTAAATCTTTTCATTTGTACCCTTTTACTTTGAATAATTATCTGCATTCATAGTTATGATTGTTATTGCAATATTTTGTTAACGTTAACAATGCAATAGGGGAATTTCCATGGGTATTTTATAGTCATGAAACTCACCGGGAGTTTATTAACTTAACAATCAAGATTCATCAGAAAATTAAAATAAGAAAAATGAAATTTTCAGTGGGTATTTCTAATTGTTTAATATTATGACATTAGAAATGAAGAGAAAAGAGGTAGACTGCATATGACATCTACCCTCTTCTACAGCAATAAAAGCTGGACAATTTTGTTAAAAAATTAAAAAAATAATAATTAAAGCAACATGAATATCAAGAAGACTATGAATGGAGCAAGCAACAAAGGAGGAATTTTAATAGAGAACAGGAATTATAAAGAAACTCCTGCTAACACTCAGAAAGAGACAGCTGATATTTTTTGAACCAATGAAGAAAGAAGTCTTGGTGAATTTAACACTCACAGGGCACACTGAAGACAAGTAGAGAAGAAAAAAAAAGCAAGCAATATACTTGACAAGTTTATGCAAATGTATGGAAGAAAAAATAATGCTGGGAAAAACAAAAGACAAGTTATGGAGAACCATGATCACCCTGAAAACTCAATACATAGGACATACAAAGAGAGAGTAACCTACTTGAAAGTTTATGCAAATGAATGGAGGAACATGTGCCACAAAGAGAAAGAAGGGTCATAAGGAGGAAAGTATTACTGAGAGCAACAAATGACAGGAAACCGTGGAGAGCCATGATTGCTCACATCCTGAAGGGGCACAGTACATAGAGAGAGAAAATAATCATGGAGGGTAGCAGTTATCAGTACTAAAAACAAAATCAGTAAAATAGTTCAAATTTAGGCTGAGGCTACTTATGTTGGGAAAGGCATAAACCTCCTCTCTATACAGTCTCATCACCAGAAATCTTGTTGAATTTTTGTCACTGTCATGCCATGATGGTTGGTGGGAGAAGAGATTGGATGAGTGATCACTTGAATGTACTATTCTCTATCAGTATGTTACCTGTCTAGGTCATCAGTATTATAATCAATCTTATGACCTGGTGTCACTGCAAAATTGGGCACCTGACCAATTCACACCACATATCTAGGCTGAAAGCCAGAGAGGTATTTACTCATGTATAGTGAGTCTTGAGCAAGTAAACCTGGTAGGGCCTATCCCCCTCCAGATCAAACCACAATCAATGTCCCCCAGCGTGAAGGATAGTCTTTGTCACAGACACATTCTATCAGGAGACCACTCCTGCCTGGCTACTGAACCCAGCAGTGGTGTATCATCATCACACTGGTTGCATACATAGCTATAGAGGTCAGTCTACCCTATTGTGCTATATGGCTGTGGACTGTACAAGAAGAGTCATCCACCCTTTGACAGGTCTTGTTTTTAATTCTGTATATCTAGCTAGCTTCCTCACTAGAAAAAACCTGTTGGAGGATGTGGGCTTGTTGCCACTGACCTGCCCTTGTAGCAGATAGTATTGGATTAGCACTCATAGAATGACCGGACATACTACCTGTCAAAGCAGTAACAGAGAAAAAAAAAAAAAACTTATTTGCCAATGTCAACCATAACAGGGATTAAGAAATGCTGCATAAATTAACTATTTTTATTACTTCAAACATAATTATGATGGATACTTGTATTTGAAATAGACATCCCATTTTTATTTTAAACAGTATGTATTATGTTTATTGGCCTTAGTATTCAAGAAATCTTAAAGAAAATCTACTCTTCAGCAGGGATCAAACTTGATTCTCCCTTTATAGGAGAAACTACCATTTGATTTGGTGTGTTTTACCACTTGGCTACAGAAAGCATCCCAGTTCACTGGTATTTTTTCCTTTTAAGAAATTTCAAATAATGAGTATCCACTAATAATAATAATAACAACATTTGAAGTAATAGAAATGATGGATTAAAACTAAATCTACTAATTCTTTATAAATAACTGTATTTTGGTGCAGGCTAGAAATTGAAGTTATGCTTTAAAACCAAACAGTGGGGAGGGAGAAAAGAAATCAACATATTATCTTATTAAACTAGTTGCCAATTTATTTTAGTCCAACCATTTATTTCAAACATGAATCTAAGTTGCAACAACATAATAACCAATATACTACCAGATGTTGAAGTTGGTATTTCAGCAAAGAAGCTGCAAAGCAGTATTTTCAGTACATAGAAAATAATTCTAAATAAAATTCTACATCCTGTTTTTTTAAATACTTTTTAGAAAGAAAAAGAAAATTATACATCAAAAATTAAATTTTATCAATGTCATAATGAATAACATTATCAGAGAAAAATATTAAATTAACTTTATGTAATGAATAATATTTTTAAATAAATTTCACAGTGTAAAAACAAAATCAAAAGTCTTTGGAAGTAAAGTCAGTTAAAAATTAAACAAAACATTAAAATTAACTTTGAGAGATTTGTAATATGAATAGAAAAAAAAGATTAATAAATTATTTCTTTAAATCAAATAAAATTAAAATGTTACATTTCAGTAGAAGAAGCATGGTAAAAATTCAGTATACTTTTTCATTTGTTAGAAACAGAAATACAGGTTATACACAAATAAAGAAAATTAATCATTAGTGTATTTGCTTTTATGAATAAAAATTTAAAAGAGAAGAATATTAAATTAATTCTAAGGGAAAAGTATTAACTTCCCAGTAAGAAGATCAAGTTTCCTAAATTACATTCTTTTAGTGAATTTCACACAAAAAGATGCTCATTCTCACAATGAAAGCATAAAGTCTGAAATAAATAAAATAAATAAGTCTTATATTTACTTGAATTAAATAAGCTAAAGTTATTTCCAATGTAAAAATAAAAACTTCCTTATTTCCACTACAGCAGTTAAACCCAAAAATTTAAAAATCTCTCAATAGAACAATGAAATTTAGTTCTGAGTTGCAGTATATCATGGTTTTAAGTAAAGAATACCATAAAAATGGCAGAATTTTACTTAAAAAATACTGAAGAGCTGTCTGATAAGTGACAACAAGTCATTACAAATATTGGTGAATACATCTATATATATATATATAAAACAGAGGACGTCTGTGTGCCTGTCTGTCTGTGTAATACCTTTTCTCTTGAGATCCATCCAACCAATTTTAACCAAACTTGGCATATAAATTATATGATGTAAGAGATAGGTTCTTAGCATAAAAAAAAATCAATAATTTTAAAAAAATCAATTGATAAATACGATCAAAAATTGATAAATTCAATTTTTTTCCTTCAAACTCAGTATGTAGGTTACTTACATCATGACAAGCTCAATGATACCTTATTTTTATTTCTACACCACTGTGTTTAGTGAAGAACTATGAAAAATGAAAAAAATCAATTTCAACACAAATTTTAAACTAAAAATGCCCTCAATTTTCAAGCAATTTAATACAAACTTTACTCATTTGTAGCCAACAATAAGTTGATTGTTTGACAGTCATTTAACTTGATAATTGAGTCTACCCATATAGTGAAAACCCATGTAAATGGCAAAAAATGGTGATTTTTACTGGTTTCTTACTTATTTTTCGCTGATCTTTCAACTAGTTTTCATCAAACTTAAAAATTGCTTTATAAATGTATCCTCTTTTACATACCTGGTAGCACACTGAATTTCAAAAAGTCCAAAATAAATGTTGTCTCAAGTGGGTTTTACCCCTTCATGTCCTCGGCTAATTTCAATTGAATAAATACAGACTAATTCTGTTATATCAGTAACTGCATTAATTCAAAATGATTTTTTAATGCAAGTACTTTAAAATAATTGAAGAAGATAGACTGTCATATCTAAACTTGATGCTGTTTTTACTCCATTTTAATTGAATGCTTTTTCTAATCAACAAACTGGATATGGTTGCTAGTAATTGAATAAAATGTAATTGTACTTTATTTTTGGAAGAATAAAGTTGATAAACAAAAACTGAAATTATTATGACTCAACCTATTATTATGAATATTATTATTATTAAATTACAATGTTTGATAAGTTCAAGATAATTTTACAGAATCTACCATAAATGCCCTGTGGTATTCTGAACAGGTCCTAGTAATCTCCCTTTGTTGTTGACTCTTCAATAGAAAATGTAGCCATCTTGTTAGTTCATTAAAGCCTTCACATCTTGTTATCACTTCAATTTAATTAACTAAAAAAGTGTAAGCTGAGCATAAACTAAGTATGGATAAATTCCTCAAAGCAGAACATATGGTTTGGTTTGTTGTGTTTTATGGCATATCAAACTCAATGGGTTTTTTAATGCCGACAACTTTTTTTTTCCTGGTAATATGTTGTTTTGTCAAAAATCTATTTCTGGTAATATTATTTTAAAACATGTATTGCTGGTAATATTTTTTTTTTCTTTTCAAAAACGTATTGCTGGTAATATTTTTTTGAAAAAATATATTGCTTTTCCCATACACTCACCCCCACAGAATGCAAGCATGCCTCTGTTGAAAAGGAGGCCTGCACCATCATAGAGGCTGTGGAAATGTGGTCTCACTACTTGTTCGGATGAAAGTTTACAATAATCCCAGATCAGCAGGCTATAAGCTTTATGTTCCATTTGAAAAGATTGGGAAAAATTAAAAACAACAAAATTCAATGATAAAGGATAGAATTGGGATGCTACGAGTACAATATAATGTACTGACCAAGCAAAGATAATATTCCAACAGACACACTCAAGAGTGAATTGTGGGGCTACTGGCAACAAAGAGAAATTATTGGACATCCATGTTTGTCTTTGTCATCCTGGAATAATAAGACTAGCTCATCTTGTTAGGATAAAAAACCTTCGTTATTCTATTGAGGAAGTAAGAAGGGTATATACTGATTGCTCCATATGTGTTTAGCTAAAACCATGATTTTACATTCTAATGACATCCCATCTTATCAAGGCCACTAACCATGGAACAAAACATCATGAATTTTCAAATTCAGTTAATCTAATATTCTTCTCTATGAAATTTTTATTCATAAAAGCAAATTCACTAATGATTAACCTTCTTTATTTTTCCATAATCTGTATTTGTTTCTAACAAATGATGTGTATTGAAATTTTCATCTGGGAATTGCTACTTACTGACAGTAATGAGTATTCTCATTTTCCATTTGCATTCCCAAACATGAAAATGGAAACCATTATCCAACATCTGAATCAGATATTCTCTGTGTTCGGAATGCCTGCATACATCCATTCTGATTGGGGACTTTCATTTCTGTCAAGGGAGCTGCGAGAGTACCTGACAAAATTAGGAATTGCAACCAGAGAACAGCGCCTTATAATCCGCAAGGAAATGGACAACGTGAGCATTACAATGGCATTATCTGGAGACACATTACACTGACCCTGGCATCCAAGAAACTTAGAGAATCTCTATGGGAGCAAATATTATCCAAAGTGTTACACTCTATTAGATCTCTACTCTGCACCACCACGAATGCCATGCCTCACAAAAGACTTTTCATATTAGCGCCGTCCCACCAGTGGCCACTCTTTACCTAGCTGGTGCTCTGTACCAGGACCTGTCTTAATACATTGCCATGCCCATGCCAGTAAATATGATCCTCAGGTTGTCAAAGTGGATTTGTTAGAAGCAAATCCACAATACACCCACATACGATACACGTATGGATGTAGATCGATAGTCTCAATACATGACTTAGTTCCAACTAGTGACATGTTACAAGGCAGAAAGACATGTAACATTCATGAGACTGGTTTGATAGAATCCATGATTCTACTTACTGGTTCAGAAGACTTGAATGTTCCTGAATAGCAGAACACTACAGATGGAATTCATGCACCAAAAGTTGGCGGTTCTCCTCCCAAGGAATCTAAGAATCATTCTGAATTCCAATCAATCAACAACTGAATCATCCATTCCTACTTTTGTTAGGTCAGAGCGACAAAAAATGATCTGTAAGAGAATGCCATAAGCCCATTCCTTATCAGGAACTAAGTCTTTAAAGGAGGGGAGAATGTGGTATTCTGAAGATTTGCCTGTTCCTTTTGACTTACTATTAATAACCTCCCTTCATTGTTGACTCTTTAATAGAAAATGTAACCATATTGTTAGTTCATTAACGCCTTCTAAAGGTCTCATATCTTATCACTTTATTCTCTTTTCTCATTCAACAAAAAATAAATAATGAAGAATTACTTACCTTGAGCAGCAGTCAAGAATATATTACCATCCTTAGAATAAGTACCACAAAATGCTTTATTCCTATAGCAAGCAACTCTCTTCATTGTATTAGGAATATACCTGAAATTGGTAGAATCAGAAAATATGCATCAGAATCAGATGCAAACTTTTTACTGGTATATAAAGAAACAAATAACATTTATTTTTAATTACTCAATCTCAAATGATTTAAATTAGACTTTGTACAATTCAATGTACATGTCAATATGTATATATTTAAATAGACGAGAGTAATGTTTGTGAATTGTATTTGGCATAAAGATGCAGAACTTGTCCAATAAATTTTACAAAAAGAATAAAATGAATATTTTCTCAGATAACCATTAAAATGTCTTCTTTACTACCACTTTTAATAAACATTATATGAAATGAAAAAGATGAAAAAAACAAAACAAGACGTTTAAAAATAAATGAAATATTATACTATTGTAAATTTCAAATGTTTTTTTTGTCAGATAAAAAGCTATGGTTTTGTTAGTGTTTGTAATAAATAACTTCAGTCTTAAAAAAAAAATTTAATGAATAAATGTTATCAATCTCTTATTAATTAAAAGAAAATACCTCTGTTATTACCTTTCACAAAACTGAAGTTTAATAGCTTTTCAACAAATCAACTGGTATTTTAATTTTACATAAAAGTTTTAGGCCTAAATATATTTACAAATGAATTTTAAACAAGAAGAAAATGAAAGCAATTAATGAATGATCTAACTTTACTACCTAAGTTATATATATATATATATATGAGAGAAAGAACAGATGGAGTAAAAATCCACTGTTCATAGCATTTACTTTTTAAAAAGTGCTCAATACAAAGTAGAGCAATATATTATTATTATATTTTTATTATAAGAGATTATAATAAAAACATTTTGAAATTGCTTCACAAAAGCTTTCCTGCTGCAATACTATGATTGTATTTCTTCAGGTAATGGTAACTAACTGGTTTTTATGATTTTTAAGGAAATTTAAAAACAAAGTGTTACCTCTTTTCCAAAAGTTAAAAGGTGAGGGGCATATGGTCAGAGTTAAAAATAGACTTGTGGGTATGTCTTGATTAATCAATTAAATGTTAGAAAAGAAAAGTATGGTCAGAGGGTGGAGGTGTGCGAGTTATTTTCTCATAAACTGGGACATAGACAGGCCATCATTAATGATTGCAGAAAATATGCCAACAAATGTATCGTAATTGTAGACAAAATAACAAAAAGAGGCCTGTAGATAAAATTAAAAATGTGAAACATCTATATATGATATTAATAATACTAACTGGATGGCAATACATATCAATATTTAAGCTGAATAAACAAAATATGGCAATTATCTGTAGAGGGTGGGTCATTATATACTAATAAATCATGGCTATAAGAAATGGTAATATGTCATTTTTAAAAATTTAACTATATTTTAAGGTAAAAGATAAATTGTGTTGACAATTTATAGTTACTTCACTCCTTTGGGTTAACAGTAATTTTTTGTTAGCAAATTTGTAATTTTTTCATGTAAACATAAGAAGCAGGGTTTATTTAAAGATGTACAAGTTTTAGTTTTTTTTAAATATTTTCCATTTTACCATAGGGGTTTTATTAACTTCTTTTAATTTCCAAAAATATTTAGAAAGGGATGTCCTATTTCTGTATGTGCTATTTGTGCCACCTAGTTTCCCCAATGTAATATTTTTTTAACTGTTTGATTTTCTATAGTAGAAATAGTGCTTAGGTAAACAAGAAAGCCTGTTTGACATCCGTTTTGTAATGGATAGTTGTTAGAATTTCTACAATTACACTTGTTGGCATTATCTGCGTTTGCTGCTTTGGAATGGCAATTATTATTCAGGTTTTTGTATTGACTTAAAATTTTATTGTTTTTAATAATTTTTTTCCAGATTATCGGTACAACTATAGCTTAGTTTTAGTATATTTCTATTAAAAATCTTACTAAATGGATTATTTCTGGGAAAGTGTTTTTCAATTAAATAGAGAAACTTCTGCCATAACTTAGTACTAACCATTTGGTTAAATGGGTGTACGAAATGATTTTTCTGTTTCTATTTTTATTCCTACTATCACTGTTATAATTTATATATTTGATGTCAGGGCACTTATAGCTACTATATTTTAAGGCAGTGTTATATGCTTGTAAAAGACATCTTCACTGGAAGAGTTATTGTTAATTCTATATTCGATGAAAGCGGGTATGCGTTTGATTACGGATGGAGGGTAGTTAGAATTTGGGTGGATATATATTGGATTGGCATTTGTTTTCATGTAGAGTTGGGATGCATTATTAACGTGGTCTAATGTAGCATCAAGGAAATTTACGTTTTTTTTTAAATTAGTGTTGATCTTGATCTTCTTTTAAAGAACAGTGGATTAAGAACAACTCTGTTGACCAATTTGATATTTCCATGGGATCGATAGACTCTGCCGAGTCTTCTGACCTTGTTGGTTTATTTATTTTATATGATCTTAGTGCCCACCAAGATATCAACATTGATGACATAGGGTTATATAGAGATGATGGCCTTATGGTGGTGAAAAATTCCACAAAAATTAAAGCTGACAAAATCAGGAAAAGTACATAGAGAATTTAAAAGTCTCAACATTAAAGTTATGATCAACACTAATTTTAAAAAAGTAGATTGACCTTACTTTTCTGTTTAGTGTAGATCTAACTGATAATTGGTTAATCAAGACATACAGAAAAGTCTATTTTTTAATTCTGACCTTACGTCCCCCCCACCTTTAACTTTCGGAAAAGAGGTTACACTTTTTCAAATTTTCTTCAAAATCATTTAATCACCAGTTACTTACCATCACTTAAAGAAATACAGTCATAGTATTGAGGCATGAAAGCTTTTGTGTAGTGATTTTAAAATATTTTTATTATAATCTTTTATAATAAAAATATAATAATAATTATATATTTAGAAAATGTATGGATTCATTTAAATTTTGGTTTTTAAAATCACACTTCTAATTTTAATAAGATTCATAATTCAGCCTTTGATATTTTTGATTTATGCTACAAATAATAATAAAAAAACTATCCTTCCTAGTGTCAGAATATATCAACGACAAAACAAAAACAAAGCAAAGAAAAAATAACTAAGGAAGCTTTATTTGAGGTAAACTTACAGAGTGCTAATAGCAGTGCAATCTCCATTTGAAAAACAAGGTTTCCGATTTGTCCCAATTTCTCTCTAGCCAGAAAAATATAAAAAAATTAAAAATAAAAATGAAAAAGTAAAGGAAAACAAAGCAGGCATTAATTAATAAACTGATTTATTCTACATACATTCATATTACTGAATTTGATACTTGTAAGATTCACTAGTCTATAAGATATATTTTAGTTTCAGGAAGGAAGGAAGGATCAGATTCACTTTTAATTTATGATATTTTTCAGTTTACAGAATGGTTTTGCTTTTGTAAAGTTTTTACTTTTTAGTAACTTATGAAAAAAAAAAAAAAAGAAAAAGAAAAACACTATATCCTACAAGGATTCCAAATATAATGGTTACATTTTTTTTAACACTATTTTGACAACAGCTACTCCTGCTGCAAGAAAACTAATGCATATATTAGTAGGAAAATGAAAGAAAATCAATAAATAAAATAATAATAATAAAAAAGAAAAAGCAATACATTTTCCTATGATGCTAAGGGTAAAGGAACCAGAAATTTTATTACCCCACTTGATTTTGTCAAACACTGTTAAGTGGCACTTGTTAAATTTATAAAAAGAAAGATTTTCTTTCCTGCTTCTCTTACTCCTTTTGTTCCAAGATGTAGAACTATGTGGTAAATATATTCCCACTGAGGAATGATAGCTTCCTCCAGTCCACAGATGACTGAACTCTCTTCCAACTTTTCAACCTATGGTGCTCACATGTGTCTTCCAAAACCTTCATCTATAAAGTAAGCTTTCTCTTTGGTTGTTCCAAATCAGTGCAAGGCTGACTTGAGCAAGACCATTGTAATGATGCTTATACTTACTTATCCTAACTTCTGGACCAAGTAAAAGAAAACAGATATCCCATAGCTAAGTTTAAATTTTCCAATGAGGAAGTAAGTACAAACATTCATTTGGTTATTCCAACTTTACGCAAGGCTAAATTGAGCTTGACCATTAATACAATGTTTATACTTACTTACCCTAACTCCAGGACCAAAAGGAAAACAGACATATCCAAGAGACATTAAGAACTGTTTCACTACAGTCACCATAAAAAAAAAAAAAAGAATAAACGGTCTGTAGTAGAAACCCAAGGTTTTGTATGCTTCTTGTTTGCTTATCATACATGAACATGCACACACCTAAAATACACATAAATCCATAACCCTCTAAATTCCATACATTTACTGGTTGGATTTAGATTAAAACAATGACAAATGAAATATAAAAAGAAGAAAATTAAGGCAAACATAGGCTGTAAGAAATATGCAACAAAAATGTATTTTCTTGATAGTAAATTACAGGGTGCAGTGGATGGATTGCCATCTAAATTACGCAAAAATGAAAATAACACTAACATCTCACGTTAACAGATAAATTTACCAAAATTACACAAAAATATCTTGAAATACAAAAGAGTAAATTTATTCAATAAAATTGCCCTGTAGAAAGATGAATGAAGGCATAACATTGCCATCACTAATGATCACTCCAAATACCTTCAGAATCACCATTAGACTCCTCCAACTCTTTCTGAATCTTCTGCCCTGTGCTCAGATTAACACCCAAACACTCTAAAATGTTTGTATTGGAACTTCTGGTGCAAATGCCAAGCAGTACAGCATGCCGTTTCCAAATTTCTGGCAGAGTGAATTGTGTCATTGTACACTTTTTCTCAGACAGTGCCCAATTGACCCTATGATAATGTGCAGTCAACAAAATGAAAAACAAACAATACACATGCATGAAATTAAAAATATAAAATGGCAACAATTTATCCATCACAACCTGTATATATTATTAGAATGAATTACACATTTTTTCTGATCAAAAATGAAATTAGGAATAAATGGTGAAATTTTCCTTTATGCATACAGAAAGAAACTGATTTAAAACCTTGAGGTCATCAGAATATAATCCATGTAAAATACTTTATTCTAAGCATTATAGCTTTGAAAAAATACATGCAATTCCATTATTTCATTTGAATCCCTGTGTCAATCTAAAAATCATTATCACTGGAATTGTAGTGGTTACCATATTCTGAGCCTAAATATATTATGAAAAGTGTCATTTTTATTTCTTTGTTTTTTTCCAGTATATTCTATAACTATTATTGGCCAATGGTATTTGTTGCATTTTATAGAAAGGTTTTCCACCAACCAGCAGACAATCTGATGTCTTTATGCTACATTATATTATTGCCTAAGTTGAGGCTGGTAATAACAGTACATAATACTGGGGTTATCCCTTGAAAACAAGGTGACTGGGTCTGTAACAAATCAATTCAGTACTTATATATGATTAAATAAGGAACAAGTAAGAAATTCTTTATAAATTTATTGTGCTTCACCAGAAATTTTTGGAAGTGAAATAATGCAGAGTTGTTTCAATTTTAAAATTTCATGTTATTTTGTTTTCATTGGTTCTGCAGATGTCACATATATACCTCATAGTGTCTATGTTGAAATCTGGAAATGTTAATGTCATTTAAGTGGTTGTAAAAGTGGGATATATTAGTGTATTTTAACTGTATGATATATATATATATATATATATATATATATATATATATATATATATATATATATATACATACACATGCTGACACTGAGCATTTCTACCCATAAATACAGCATACCTTAAAACATTATATATAAGAGAGTTCTGCAAGCAAGAAATGAGATAGAAGAAATTGTTAGCATAGAATTTAAGGTTATATCTAAACATTTCAACTGTAAAATGATGAGACCTTGCCACCAATCTAGTACTGTGTGTAAATTCATACTCTAGGTACCACAGAGTAAAGTTCATCGGAACAATTATGAAAAGATTTATAGAAAAATTTTAAAAATATATTAATATTTTTTATTTATGTTTATATATTTTGACCTTTTCCTTCATTTTCGTTTCTCTATAAAATTAATTTTAGCTTTACATTTTGTTATTGCTTTTAATGTTTATGTCTCACTGTAAGAGATATGTATGCTTAAATAATAACAATAATAATGATGAGTAAAAAAAAAACAATAAATATAGGTAATATCAAACATTAAAAATAAATTAATACACTATTTTATTGAATTGGTTGACATTAAAAGAAAAGATGTTTATAATGAGAAATAGCATGGACATTGACATTTGTTTAAAAATTAGTGAGATTTTATTATCAACCCCCTTTTTCACCTCTACAGATATTATCCATTATAGATAGTCCCATTGACCACATGGGTTGATATTGACCACTTTGGGAACCCCTGGACTACACATGAATTTATCTCAAAACAAGCATACAAAGCATCACACTATGGTAGGATCCTAAGAAAAGATATTTTAAATGCTTGCTTATTTTCATTCTCCTTTTCTCTGTATCTTTTAAACTGTTTTATTTTTAATCACATTCTTTAATCTTCACTTCACGACCATGTTAATCAAAAATAAGTGAAAGAATTATTAACATCTGTATTAAGCAGTATCACCAATCTCTAAACTATCAGTGCCTTTCATTTGCTTTCACACCCTAAGAAGAGAGACTTCAAAAATAATGAAAGTAATAATAAATACATTAAAAATAAAGTAATACACGAAAGGATGTGTTTCATGAATAGTAGTAAGGGTATTGATATTTGGTTGGAAATTGGTAAGTTTTCATAGAAAGTCATCACAATTCATTGACCCCTTGACTCTTATGGCTCAAAATTTAGAGCTTTATATATACACTAATAAATACATCATAAAGGTGAAGTTTGGTTATTAATTTCTTCTTATTTTTCTTTATTATTTTGTATATAGACAGATTAGTATTAAGTGTGTGCAAAAAGTTCTTAGCAGCCTTTCTTGAAAACTATAAATTGAATACAGCTGAAAATGTTATTTTGGCTGGAAACCTTTGCAGACACTTTACATAAATAGGTAGAAAAAATTACTTCCACTCATATTCTAAATACAAGGTAACCAAAAAAGTCCTTGCCATTTTTGATTTATTAGAAAATAAAAAGTATACAGTAAATTTGGCATAGTGTTATTCCTCAAATTAACCCCCATTGGCATCCAGAACCTTTTGCCAATGTGCCTCCAGCTGCATAATGCCCTGGCAATAAAAATCAAGTGTCTTGGATGCAAAGAAGTCTGTGAGAGCCTGCCACAAGTCATTTTCAAAAGATTGCCCACAAAGGTGGTTGTCTAGGGAATGGAAGAGGTTGTAATTTGTTGGTGCAAGTTCCAGGGTGTAAGGTGGATGGCACAGTGTTCCCTAGCCAAGTTACCATATGGTATCCCTAGCCACCCATGCCGCATTAAACTTGGCATTGTTAAGGAGGAACAGTACACCCTTGTGATTAACCAATGCTGGCTCTTTCTGCTTCAGTGCCTGTTCCAACTGCTGCAAGTACATATCTGCAGTGATAGTTTGGCCTATTGGTAGAAGCTACTAGTGCACCATTAGTCAAATATTCCACCAGATATAAAGAGTGTGATGGGTAAATTATTTATATTTTTTCGCACATTGCTTGTTTTTGATCTTGTTGATTACACAGTTTAGTAGGGTCAGCTGAGCACTGTCTGGGAGAAAAATAGCACTATGACGCAATTCACTCCACTAGAAATTTGGAAACGGCATGCTATACTGCTTGGCATTTGCACCAGAAGCTCCAATACAAACATTTCAGAGTGTTTGAGCATTATTCTGAGAACAGGGCAGAAAATTTGGAAAGAGTTGGAGGAGTCTAATGGTGATTCTGAAGATATTTATAGTGATTATTAGTGATGGCAATGCTATGCCTACATTCATCTTCCTACAGGGCTTCAGACTCAACATGGAGGCCTACATCATGTGCATTGGGGAGATAGTGCTGCCCTGGGTGAAAAGGGTGACTGCTGGAAGACCCTATGAGGCTTGATATATTTGGTGATGATGTGGCTGCAGACAAGCCCACAACCCTGAACAAGCTGCTTCACACTGCTGTGCTTTCTTGCTGCTGCTAAAGCTATGACTGATGTATGTGCACAACACACCTGCATTGGTCAAGAGCAATGACCTCAGCACTACCACTTTCCTGGCATGTGACACACTCATTTGTGCATCAGTGATCAGTTCTTCCCATACAATGTAAAAAATGGCAAGGACTTTTAGGTTACCTTATATAATTATATTCATTATAAACTGACTAAACACTGAAATGTTGACAAAAATCACCCACGTTAATTGAATATTGATTACCTATATAGAAAAATCAATAAATTCACAGTCTAATGTTAAAGAAAGAATTTATTTTACACAAATATTTCTTAGCGTAATCTTCCTTTTTTATGCAGTAAAATCAATGGTGAATATTAATCATATAGACTGATCATTATACAATGAAAATTTTAGATCAAAACTCAGGTAATAACTGCATGAAGCTTTGTAATTTTTCAGACTGAGTTTCATCCTTTATGAGCATTTGTTAATGAAAGTAAGCAATGTGTGTGTAGCATCGGGGTTATTAGCATGGAAAGTGAAACTGGCAAACCAATTTCAAATTCCAGCCTAATTTATTGCATTCACTACTATCCTGATGCCCCTGGGGAAAACATGGATCCTCCTCCTAGTTTAGTGTTAAATGGCAGGGTAGACTGGGCTCTCTAGCTTTGGATTGTAGTCAGTCTAGGAGAAGAGCTACACTGAATTCAAAACTGGAGTGAAGGCAATGGGAAACCACTCCACTATCTTTCCCAAGATGTCATGACAATTCAGACACATTGAAGAAAAGGAAGCTGTGGAGAAGCATTTTCATCTATATCTTGAAGAGGCAGAGCATTAATGTACATAAAAATATCTGAAGTGTTTGTAAAAGTATGCTTGGAATGAAGAATTACTGAATGCTATGCAAATCCTGCTAGCATCCGAGATTTAATGCAAGATTTTCAAAGTCTGTTTAAATTTCTTAGATAAAATGTTACTATTATAAAATAATTTTTTTAGATAACTTCCATTTTATTGTTTTTATTACAACATTTCAGCTACTCTACCCTCAAATGTCTGTCAAATTCTGAGGTCTGGGAACTGTTTTTTTTTTTTATCCATGGGTGTGTCTTGCCAATACATATTTATACAGAGTGTTATCCTAAGAAAGAATCAATGGTCAAAAAGGTGATGTGTTCTATTTGAAGTTTTAGGAAGGTTACTGAATGTAAAAGACATTTGAGGAAGGCTGGAGAGTACATCAGCCAAAACATTGTAGTAAAGGTAAGCAGGAAAAAATTGGTTCAGAAAGAATCATAAAAGAAAAATTTACCTTTTGCAACATATGAGCAACAGTGGGGCGGCAATAATGTTTGTTCTTGTGCAGGCGACCAGATGCTAGAAGAATTTGTTGTTTAATATCATTATCCTGAAAAAAAAAATGATTATGGACTAATTAGAAATAAAAAAAATTAAAATTTATTAAAAATAAAAAAAATGTTAATTAAAATTATCAACTGATAAATATTGAATACATGACTCAATTCAATCTTATTATTTCCTAAAATGATAACCATATTTTATTATATATATTTCTTGCTAGCCTAGAAGCTGGCTCTTCAGGCAGACTGGAGAGGCTAACTGCCAAATCCATCCATATCATATATATATATATATATATATATATATATATGTGTGTGTGTGTGTTAATAGTTTAGCATGCTATTATTTTTAGAGAAGTGTATTTCTGCTCTGACTTCCTCAGTTTGACCTTTGAAGTCAGATACAGGTCAACAAAGGAAGTCGATTTTTATTGGCTGAACTAGTATGAGAATGATAGAGAAAGGTTTTTCGGGGAGTTGAGTCTAAACTGTCATACAATGTAGATGTGTTTCTGTTGTATCTGGAAGATGATCCCCAGTGGGGTGAGAGAGCAACACCACTGGGTACTTAGAAATGTACATGTCGATGTGTTTAATAAAAATGTTTTAAGTTTAAAATTCCCTTTGTTGAAGATCTTTCATCTCTGAACCAAAACTACTAGTGATCACTGGCTGAAAGAAAGAGAAGATACAACATTGTATTAATTGATGCAGTGATCAAGAGACCCACACACATATATATATATATATATATATATATATATATATATATATATATATATGTATATATATATATCGAAATTAAATAATATATGGGAATATGATATATAAATTTTTATATATCAAGAAACAATTTTATTGGAAAATCTTTGTGCAATGTTACATCCTTTAGGACTTCATTAGACTAAAGTGATGTTTACATTGATGCGATTACACATGTGCAGGAAGAATTGAGGCTTACATTTAAAAAGAAATTATTTTTATTTCATATAACCAAAACGCATTTAAAAAAAAAAATTTAAATTTAAAATTAAAATATCAATGTCACCTTACCTTCATATAACAGGCATTAAAAGGTTTTTTAATTTCTGAGATTAGATGTTTTTTATTATTATTATACATTCTTTCAGACTAGTTTCCTCATCTTTGTAGTCAGCAAGGATGAGAAAGCTGATCTGAAAGCTGATTTGAAAAGAGATTTAATATTTAAATCTTTTATCTGAAATGCGACTATAATTAAAAAAAATTACTGCAAAGTTTTTGGCTTTACAGTAAATGTTTTTAACTTCTCTTTTGAAAACAGTGGTAATGGTTAGCTTAGTAACTTTTCACCTTAACTTGATCAGAGTAATCATTAGAATATTCATAACTTTTCATGATCTTAATATATGAATTGTTACAACTGACAGTGACTATATCAAATATTTTCACAGTTACTGCTTAAGTGGAACAGAGAAACATTGGATTACTTATATAATTAGTTCCCTCTTTTTCTATCTGTCCTTCTAGTTTAACAGTCAAGACTTAGGGTTGGATTCATGGACAGAATGAACAATCCACTCCCCCATTATTAACTTACCTATCCAAGAAATGATAACAAAAAATGGTTTTTATATCTATTGTAAAATTTGTAACTAAATTGAATTTAAAATTATATCTTCTGCCATAATATATATATATATAAGCTAAAAGCACCTTATGAAAATTTTCAAGTTTTATTTATTACTTTCATTCTGATCAAATAAATCAATGAGTTTACATATAAATTCTATCACACTTATAAATTGTAACCAATACAACATCAGTAAATAGTTATTTCTCCACAAAGCATTTTATGATGATTGAACTTGTTACCAATGGCTTTTGAGAATAATCATAAACCACATTAATATACTGGCAGCTTGTAAATGCACATAATATATAGTTTCAAACATATCCTACATTCTTCCATATATCTAAACTATAATTATAAACTATAATTTTGGAAAGTGAAAATTTCAATGTAATATGTTAGAAAATCTTTAAGTTTTCACCTGAAATTAAGAAAATATGATCTTTAAGCAAAATGGCCACAATATTAAAAACAAAAAGTGTTAGCTTAACTTGAGGCCAGGAGGATATTGACTAAAGCAAAGAATTAAAGAAAGAAAATGGTTCTCAGAGATGATAATGGCTTTGATGGTAGAATGTTTCCTACGTAAAGGAATTTATGCAACTAAGCTAACCTCAGTTAATTTATTGTTTTAAAAATTTTTAATTCTTGAAATTGAAACAAGTATTAAAAAATAATTGATAGGCAAGTAGAAAATGAGCATAAATTATAAGATAAAGAAAAGAAATCTGGGCAATCTTTAACTTTTGTGCCTGTGAAAAAATAAAGAAAAAAAAAAAGAAAAGAAAGCCAGTATATCAAA